CCTCTCTCAGTACATGAAGTGAGTTAATCTCTCTCTCTCTCTCTCTCTCAGTACATGAAGTGAGTTAATCTCTCTCTCAGTACATGAAGTGAGTTAATCTTCTCTCTCTCTCTTGAAGTGAGCTCTCTCTCTCTCTTGCTTAGTACATGAAGTAGAGTTAATCTCTCTTGCTTAGTACATGAAGTGAGTTAATATCTCTTGCTTAGTACATGAAGTTAATCTCTCTCTCTCTCTCTCAGTACATGAAGTGGGTTAATCTCTCTCTTTCTCTCTCTCTCTCTCTCTCTTGCTTAGTACATGAAGTGAGTTAACTCTCTCTCTCTCTCTCTCTCTCTCTCTCTCTCTCTCTTGCTTAGTACATGAAGTGAGTTAATCTCTCTTTCTCTCTCTCTTGCTTAGTACATGAAGTGAGTTAATATCTCTCTCTCTCAGTACATGAAGTGAGTTAATAACACTCAGCACATGAAGTGAGTTAATATCTCTCTCTTTCTCTCTCTCTTGCTTAGTACATGAAGTGAGTTAATATCTCTCTCTCTCTCTGTTGTTTAGTACATGAAGTGAGTTAATATCTCTCTCTCTCTCTGTTGTTTAGTACATGAAGTGAGTTAATATCTCTCTCTCTCTCTCTCAGTACATGAAGTGAGTTAATAACACTCAGCACATGAAGTGAGTTAATATCTCTCTCTCTTTCTCTCTCTCTCTCTCTCTCTCAGTACATGAAGTGAGTTAATAACACTCAGCACATGAAGTGAGTTAATATCTCTCTCTCTTTCTCACTCTCTCTCTCTCTCTCAGCACATGAAGTGAGTTAATATCTCTCTCAGTATATGAAGTGAGTTAATTTCTCAGTACATGAAGTGAGTTAATCTCTCAGTACATGACGTGAGTTAATCTCTCTCAGTATATGAAGTGAGTTAATCTCTCAGTACATGAAGTGAGTTAATCTCTCTCAGTACATGAAGTGAGTTAATAACACTCAGTACATGAAGTGAGTTAATCTCTCTCAGTATATGAAGTGAGTTAATCTCTCAGTACATGACGTGAGTTAATCTCTCAGTACATGAAGTGAGTTAATATCTCTCTCAGTATATGAAGTGAGTTAATCTCTCAGTACATGAAGTGAGTTAATCTCTCAGTACATGAAGTGAGTTAATCTCTCAGTATATGAAGTGAGTTAATCTCTCTCAGTACATGAAGTGAGTTAATCTCTCAGTACATGAAGTGAGTTAATCTCTCAGTACATGAAGTGAGTTAATCTCTCTCAGTACATGAAGTGAGTTAATCTCTCAGTACATGAAGTGAGTTAATCTCTCAGTACATGAAGTGAGTTAATAACATTCAGTACATGAAGTGAGTTAATCTCTCAGTACATGAAGTGAGTTAATCTCTCTCAGTATATGAAGTGAGTTAATCTCTCAGTACATGAAGTGAGTTAATCTCTCAGTACATGACGTGAGTTAATCTCTCTCGGTATATGAAGTGAGTTAATCTCTCAGTACATGAAGTGAGTTAATCTCTCTCAGTACATGAAGTGAGTTAATAACACTCAGTACATGAAGTGAGTTAATGTCTCTCAGTATATGAAGTGAGTTAATCTCTCAGTACATGAAGTGAGTTAATCTCTCTCAGTATATGAAGTGAGTTAATCTCTCAGTACATGACGTGAGTTAATCTCTCAGTACATGAAGTGAGTTAATCTCTCTCAGTACATGAAGTGAGTTAATCTCTCAGTACATGAAGTGAGTTAATAACACTCAGTACATGAAGTGAGTTAATCTCTCAGTACATGACGTGAGTTAATCTCTCAGTATATGAAGTGAGTTAATCTCTCAGTACATGAAGTGAGTTAATCTCTCTCAGTACATGAAGTGAGTTAATAACACTCAGTACATGAAGTGAGTTAATCTCTCTCAGTATATGAAGTGAGTTAATCTCTCAGTACATGACGTGAGTTAATCTCTCTCAGTACATGAAGTGAGTTAATAACATTCAGTACATGAAGTGAGTTAATCTCTCTCAGTATATGAAGTGAGTTAATCTCTCAGTACATGAAGTGAGTTAATCTCTCAGTATATGAAGTGAGTTAATCTCTCAGTACATGAAGTGAGTTAATAACACTCAGTACATGAAGTGAGTTAATCTCTCTCAGTATATGAAGTGAGTTAATCTCTCAGTACATGAAGTGAGTTAATCTCTCAGTACATGAAGTGAGTTAATCTCTCTCAGTACATGAAGTGAGTTAATAACATTCAGTACATGAAGTGAGTTAATCTCTCAGTACATGAAGTGAGTTAATCTCTCTCAGTATATGAAGTGAGTTAATCTCTCAGTACATGAAGTGAGTTCATAACATTCAGTACATGAAGTGAGTTAATCTCTCAGTATGTGAAGTGAGTTAATCTCTCTCAGTATGTGAAGTGAATTAATCTCTCAGTACATGAAGTGAATTAATCTCAGTACATGAAGTGAGTTAATCTCTCTCAGTATGTGAAGTGAGTTAATCTCTCTCAGTACATGAAGTGAGTTAATCTCTCTCAGTACGTGAAGTGAGTTAATCTCTCAGTACATGAAATGAGTTAATCTCTCAGTACATGAAATGAGTTAATCTCTCTCAGTACATGAAGTGAGTTAATCTCTCTCAGTACGTGAAGTGAGTTAATCTCTCTCAGTACATGAAGTGAGTTAATCTCTCAGTACATGAAATGAGTTAATCTCTCTCAGTATGTGAAGTGAGTTAATCTCTCAGTACATGAAGTGAGTTAATCTCTCTCACTATGTGAAGTGAGTTAATCTCTCAGTACATGAAGTGAGTTAATAACTCTCTCAGTACGTGAAGTGAGTCAATAACACACTCAGTACATGAAGTGAGTTAATCTCTCAGTACATGAAGTGAGTTAATATCTACCAGTACATGAAGTGAGTTAATTTCTCTCTATCTCCCTCTCTCTGCATGAAGTGAGTTAATCTCTCTCTCTCTCTCTGCGCATGAAGTGAGGTAGTCTCTCTCTCTCTCTCTCTCTCTCTCTCTCTCTCTCTCTCTCTCTCTCTCTCTCTCTCTCAGTACATGAAGTGAGTTAATATCTCTCTCAGTACATGAGGTGAGTTAATATCTCTCTCAGTACATGAAGTGAGTTAATCTCGCTCAGTACATGAAGTGAGTTAATGTCTCTCAGTACATGAAGTGAGTTAATATCTTTCTCAGTACATGAAGTGAGTTAATATCTCTCTCAGTACATGAAGTGAGTGAATCTCTCTCAGTACATGAAGTGAGTTAATTTCTCAGTACTTGAAGTGAGATAATGTCTCTCAGTACATGAAGTGAGTTACTCTCTCTCTCAGTGCATGAAGTGGGTTAATCTCTCTCTCAGTACATGAAGTGAGTTAATCAGTCTCTCAGTACATGAAGTGAGTTAATCAGTCTCTCAGTACATGAAGTGAGTTAATCTCTCTCAGTACATGAAGTGAGTTAATCTCTCTCAGTACATGAAGTGAGTTAATCTCTCTCAGTACATGAAGTGAGTTAATATCTTTCTCAGTTCTTGAAGTGAATTAATCTCTCCCTCTGCATGAAGTGAGTTAATCTCTTTTTCTTGGCTTAAATTAGTTAATTCAAGAAGGTTATCTTTAATTTTCTTTTAATGTATTTTTATTTTAATTAATTTTATTCAACTATATCACATTAAACTGGCTTTAAAATCCCTAAGTAAGCTAATAAAGCTATTTTCAATTTGCTTTCACTTGCTTTTCAAACACCAAGCTTGATTGGTCTGCATTTTTTAAACAAAGTATGCTATTGGCCAGTAATTTGTAAATAGAGGGTGTGATTGGTCAGGATTTTGTTAACAAAGGATGTGAATGATCAGGAATTTGCAAACAAAGTGTGTGATTGGTCAGGATTTTGTAAATATGATGTGTGATTGGTCAGAATTAATTTCACAAAATACAATACATAAATTAATTAGGACGAAAATAGTTATATAATTAGATACATTAATTAGTTATTTAAGTACAATTTTAATGAAGTACTGTAATTATAAGGAAAATTAGCTTAAATGTAAGGAAATTAGATTAAGGAATCTTTGAAATATTTTTAAGAACTTATAGAGAGATAGATGGTTTATTTATGAGGAAAGTTAACACACACACATGAATATTAGTAGGAAAAGTAAACAAACATGACTTTTGGAAAAATTTGTATAACTAACTTTTAATAAGAAAAATTAAACAAACTTACCCAGCAGTAAGTGACTTTTATTAGTTCTTAGGAAAGGGTAGTCCCCTTACATGTGACTCTGACAGGTATTTAACAAATTCACTTTTAGACTTTAATTATCCATGCACATGTGATTAGCAGGTGTTTCTCTCACATACAGGACTTTTATAGGAGGAAATCTACACATACTGTACATGATACATGACTTGAATTAGTTCTTATGAAAGGTTAATTTCCATACATGTGACTATAGCAGCTATATGAAGCCTCATACTAACTTTTAGACAAGGGTTATCCCCAAACATGTGCTGTAACAGGTATAGAAACACTCAAAGTAACTTTTAGACAAGGGTTATCCCCAAACATGTGCTGTAACAGGTATAGAAACACCCAAAGTAACTTTTAGACAAGGGTTATCCCCAAACATGTGCTGTACCAGGTATAGAAACACCCAAAGTAACTTTTAGACAAGGGTTATCCCTAAACATGTGCTGTACCAGGTATAGAAACACTCAAAGTAACTTTTAGACAAGGGTTATCCCCAAACATGTGCTGTAACAGGTATAGAAACACTCAAAGTAACTTTTAGACAAGGGTTATCCCCAAACATGTGCTGTAACAGGTATAGAAACACCCAAAGTAACTTTTAGACAAGGGTTATCCCTAAACATGTGCTGTACCAGGTATAGAAACACTCAAAGTAACTTTTAGACAAGGGTTATCCCCAAACATGTGACTAAGTCGGGTGTGTGAAAGCATATATTAACATCGTCATCTTTTGGACCAGTACAATGCATTTCAGGTTAAAGGAATGAAGAAACTGGAGAATTACTTAAGGAAGGAGGAGGACCTTGATGCCTGGAGGAGACAGGCATCCCCGGAGGAAGTAGAGTACCTCGAGATCCAGTCAGAGTTGGAGAAGGACCTGTATCAATCACACATAAGGTTAGTCGGGTGTTGAGTCTCTTTATCAACATGTCTTTCAAGATTTTTACAATATTATACACCTGAAACTTCAGTCATAGGTGGAATAGGACATTAAGATAACAGTCATAGTTGGAGTTGGACCTTAAGATAAGTCATAGTTGGAGTAGGACCTTAAGATAAGTCATAATTGGAGTAGGACTTTAAGATAGCAGTCGTAGTTGGAGTAGGACCTTATGGTACAGTGCATGTGTGTGTATGTGAAAGACCTTTTATATTGGGGTTAACAGTCAGGTATATATTTACCACACACCTATAAGTCAAGTCAGAGTTGGAGGAAGACTTAATACCAGTCACATATGAGGTGAGATGCATGTTAAGTCACAAGTGTCTGTTCTTGTTTGATTGACAGATATCTGGCTTGTGTCACTTATGTCAGGTATAGATTCATTTTACACACCTGTAAGTCAAGTTAGAGTTGTAGAAGGATCAAAATAACTTATATATAAGCCAGTTTAGGTGCTTTAGTCACATGTGTATACTATATATAACATCTGTCATGTATTAATCTTTTATATATATATATATATATATATATATATATATATATATATATATATATATATATATATATATATATATATATATATATATATATATATATATATATATATATATATATATATATATATATATATATATATATAGTGATCCGCTTTGAAAAATTTTGCCATTGACATCTTCAGAGCAACTGAAGTCTTGAATGAAATATATATATAATCAACACAACCCGCCAGGATTATAGCCCATATTGATATTCGAATCCTGGCGGGAGTGTTGATTAATGTTCTGCTTTATTGGGCTATGATATATATATATATATATATATATATATATATATATATATATATTATATATATATATATATATATATATATATACACACATATATATATATATACATATATATATATATATATATATATATATATATATATATATATATATATATATATATATATATACACACACACACACACACACAAAGGTGGGCACGCGCAACGTTTTTTAGCACCGCTACCGTAACTCTGCTGAAATAGTTGCGCCGCAACCTCAACCATTTTTAAAAAGTTGCACCGCAAGCGAAACCGCAACGTGCAACTTAAAAAAAATAAATAAACAAATACTAAAATCACAAAATTTGCCTATTTACAAGTAAAACAAAATATAATTGATACAAAAAAGTTAATATTAACACTATTTTATTACAAAATTAAAAAAATGCCTCACTGGCCTCAGTCTCAGTGGACTGGCTGTCAACATTCTCAGTCACTTCAACTTCCGTGTCCATGTCCTGGTCGGCAGGATCACTGCTGCCAGCCACAGACTCCTCCTCGTCGTAAAACGATCCATAATACTTAACATGAAACAAAACATAAACACACACACACACACACACACACACACACACACAGTGAACAATTGGTGTAGAGCACTTCAGGGTAACGAGACGACTCTCTCAAAGCCAGAAAAGCTCCCTCATCCCTGGAATTTTCCAGGTAATGGAAAAATGTTCTTGGAAGTTCCAGAATTTGTCCATTACAGTAGGGTCGGGATATATAGCTATTTTCCAATATACGTATAGAGATAAATTTATTTACAGTAGACTCACAACTTATGTGGGGTTATGTTCCTGGGTCCTCAGATATAGCCAAAAACTGTATAAAGTCAGAAACACTCATAAAAATCCCCTAAATAACCCCTCAAAATACGAGTTGAAAAACTGTACAGAACTTAAACGTATTTTAAAAGACTAAAATATTTTTTGTCATCTGCAAAATATATGATGTCTATATTCAAATTATTCTCTGTCTTATAAGGATTCAAGCAATGCAAATTATATTCTGTTAACTTTAGACTGTGCCATTTTATGTCAAGTTTAGTGACTTTTATTGGCCTCCAGAACCTAACCCTATTTTCCCCATTGATTACATGAAATTAAATATCGTGATTTAGTATATAGTGAACATCCTTGGACCCTATCTGGCGATATATCTCGACCCTACTGTACATCATCTCTCGAACATGGAAAAATATCTCTCATCCCCGGAATTTTCTAGGTATTGGAAAATTTTTCTCGTAATTTCTGGAAAGTACACCTGATTTTCATCTCTCAAGCCCGGAAAAAAATCCCCCATCCCTGGAATTTTCCGGATATTTCCGGAAAATGTGCCACTCGGAAAATTTCAGTTCCAGCTATTGGAGAGTTCTGGGTTTGAGGGATTCTGGCTAATGGAGATAGTACTGTGTGTGTGTTTGTGTACAAAATCCTTACTAATCACATGGTTTGTAAACAAAATTGTGACCAATCAGATCCTTTGTTTACAAAATATTGACCAATCACTTCTTTTTTTACTCATCACTCCAATAGGTAGCCCAAAAAAATAGAGTTGTTTTGCTGATACCATTCTCTTTGCACAGAGCGGAACGTATCTTTGCCGAGGCGGAAGAGAATGAGAATCGGTATTACTACATGAAGTGGGAGAATTTGCCGTACGTAGAGGCCACTTGGGAGCTGGAAGACCTCGTTAAGACCAGATTTAAAAGTCAGGTGTGTGTCTCTGTCTGTCTATGCATATATCTATCTATGTATGTACCGTATATACTCGAGTACAGTTTGAGTTTTTCTATAAAATTTAGATGCAAAAAGTAGGGGGCGTGCTATATACACATACTATTTTTGAGGGGTTGAAATTAATGCATTTCTGTGTGTCATCTATGGTTAATGGTACATGCTCAAGGTGGGCTAACATTACCAGTAAGCTGTAGGTAGTAGGCAGCTATCAAACAGGGAGGTACTACTGCCTGGGAAGATATTGGAAGTATAATGTGTTGTCTAATGGTAGACCCTGCTGCCATATGTGACCAACTCCCAGGTTGATGATCTGACTTTCTGCCTCATTTATACACTTTTGTAGTGTCTCAAATATTTCTCTTACTTTGACAACACAACATACAGGTACATATTTTTTCGTACTTTCGATCTGTTTTATTTTTTCAATTTTTTTATTCCCCGATTTTATCAGTTAATAGTTATATTAAAGTAGGGCCTTCTCAGATGGGTGCTGAGAAGAAATAGAGACGCCAATTTTAGATTTTCTATGTATTATTTAAGCATTTTCGACTTACGACCATTTCGACTTATGACCTGGATTTGGGTCCCTAACCCTGTCGTAAGTCCATCTCTCTAATCACCCACACCTTTCTGCTTTCTCACAACATATTTTAAAATGTTATGTAATGTTGTGTTGAAGGGCTACAACTTTGCTTATTTATACTTATACTTATCACAATCTCTCAAAAAATACTTTAGGTTTCGTTTTTATTCAAGACATCTCCTAGGGAAGTGGGCTAGTGTCTGTGTGTGCAAGGTGTCTAGTTTAGACAATACAGTACAGTAACCAGAAAAGATTCCAGGGATAAGGAATTTTTCTGGGTTTGAGAAAGTCGTCTGGTTACCTGGAAATCTGTCATCCCTGGAAGTGCTGTGCATCTATTGTTCTGGTTAACAGGGATATCACATTATTATTACTGTTGTTTTTATTATGGTACAGTATTATTATTATTATTATTATTATTATTATTATTATTATTATTATTACTACTATTATTATTATTATTATTATTATTATTATTATTATTATTATTATTATTATTATTATTATTATTATTATTATTATTATTACTGCATTGCAGTTGGAGAGCTTCCGAGAGAGGGAAAAGTCCACCTGCACCCCTAAACAATGTCCAGCCTTGAAACATCGACCAAAGTTTTGTCCAATGAAGGTCCAGCCAGATTATCTCGGAGGAAGTAACGAGGTATGTTGAGTTTGCTTATGTTTATCTGCTTGTTTTTGTTTGTATATATTTGTGTTTGTTTATATTTATGTTTGTTTGTGTTTGTTTATGTTTACTTATGTTTATGATTGTTTATCTTTGTGTTTGTATATTTGCTGAATTCCACATATTAATATTGATATTTTTTTAGCAGAAATTGAAATGTAAATTGTATTTTTTGTCAACAGGACCTAGAGCTACGAGACTACCAGATGGAGGGAGTTAATTGGCTAATTCACTCTTGGTGTAAACACAATTCAGCGATTTTAGCCGATGAGATGGGTCTCGGTAAGTTGATTGTGGTAAAGTCCTTTAGATGTGAAATTTACATAACATTGGGGAGGGTACAGCATTCCATAACTGTATTATTACATGTGCAGTGAGGAGCTCTGTGTTTTTCATGTATTTTCAACATGGTTATCATGGCACCCAGTCCAGCTTCAAGGAAATCCTATTCGTAAGTGTAACTTTAGAGCAAGAAGTGATCAGTGTCCTTGGACCATCTGAGTGGATGTTTGTGACAATTGTTGAACTTGTGATTCTATCGCAGGAGGTGCTAGTGTTGTCGGGGAGCCCTGCAGTGTTGCCCAGCGTGTATTTTGAGAGCGAGTAGTACCTTGTCCAGCATGTGCTCACTCACCCCACACCCCTTCACCCTCCCTCACCAGCCACCCCACCCCCCTTCACCCTCCCTCACCAGCCACCCCACCCCCCTTCACCCTCCCTCACCAGCCACCCCACCGCCCTTCACCAGCCACCCCACCCCCCTCCCTTCAACCTCTACCACTAGCCTCTACCCTCCTCATCACTGCTATTCCCCTTCTCCATCCTACCTTACTATGGCTGACATGACTGATATTGTTCATGAAAAGATTGGATGCCATCAATATAACAATGTGACTAATACATTTAATTTCTTGCCAGCTGTAAGTTGAGGGTGTACACATCTCTCTCCTCCTACCTTCAGCCTGGCGATAAAACTTTGATCGTGAATTCCTTAACCAAAGCAATCCTCTCCTCCACTCCTCTTCCCTCTCTCATACCTACACCACACTTCCACCATTTTCTACCTACTCCATATACCGCACTGCCCAATTCCTCCGCATCATAGCCGGAGGGCTTGTTCACAGAGGGATTTCCAGCTCAGAGCAACGTTAAAGACGGCATCCTTGACTGTGAAATTGTTCCAGAATTGCTGGACAGTCAGTTCTTGGTCAGAACTCATTGAATCTGCCATTTGCTTCATTGTTGTCTTCAAATACATTCTTTTGAGTAAGGCAATGGCTCCCTGATCCATAAGCTGAATAAAAGAGGTCACATTAGGGGGCAATAACATCGTTGTTCATCTGGTATCTGGTTTCTCTGTTTACATCTCCTATACTGAGTACTTTACATTAGTCCACATTAAATTTCGTCTGCCATTTTTCAGACCATTCGAAATTTTTTTTTAGATCTTCCTGTAGTTTTGCAGAGTCCTCGTCAGATTTAATTACACACCCTATTTTAGTGTCATCAGCAAATTTACTTATGTTGCTGTCTACGCTGATATCTGTGTCGTTTATATATACCTGTATAATAAATAATAATGGTCCAAGTACTGAGCCTTGGGGTTCTCCACTAGTGACGTTGCTCCAATGGGATTTAGTGCCTTTAATGCTCACTTGTTGTTTCCTGTCCTGTAACCACGCCCTAATCCATTTTAGAATATCTCCTTTAATGCCATGAGCCTTCACTTTTCTTATTAGTCTTTCGTGGGGAACTCTGTCAAAGGCTTTGCTAAAGTCGAGATACACCACATCATAATTGTGCAAGCTCCTTCAGGTTAGCGGTTCAAATTCCTCCTTCTCTTGGTGGTAGTGCTGGAGTAAGGTGGTGGCTTTTCACTGGTGTTGGAATAATTACATTCCTAATGGCTTCTTCTAGAGCAGGGGTTCCCAACCTTTTCCAGGTCATTCCCCTTTTGCCAAAAAATCAATAATGTCCCCCCCCACCCCTCCTTCACTCTTAACCATGGTGTTTTGATTTATTTACACAAGGTTAAATTTTAAAAAAAATTGCCAATACATGTAATGATTTAATTAGTGACTAATAACACTCAAAGAAAGCAGATAAGAAAGAAATGTATGACTGGGAAAAATAACTCAGATAAATAAAAGCCCGACAGTTCCGTTTCAAAACACAAATACAGTAGGGTCGGGATTTATCGCGACTTTTTGTAAAGATTTTTTATATCGCGGCTACCAAAAATATCGACATTTTCCTACATATAGCGATAATTTTTTTATTTCGCGAGAGAAATTGAGCAGGAAATATTTCAAATTTATCACCATGGCAAACAGAGGCGCCACGTGGCCGCTTACCCACACCTTCAAGCTAGCCCGCTCAGTCTTAATTCAGCTCTCACCGCATGTACACGCTTCACTCTAAGTCACCACGTCCTCTACTACTGTGTACTGTACCAAGATGCCTAAGTGTACTAGTACCACTCCTAGTTCAAGTGAGAAAAATAAGAAGAAAACCATCAACTTTGGTGATAGGCTTATAAACTAGCCACCATCTGCTTGCTGTAAATAGTTGAAATCACGAATCATAAACCACAAATAGCAAGGGTTTACTGTACCTAACAATCATCTCGGTGAAAACAGTTGTCGGTAACCAAACTCAACTCTGATTTTCAGCCCAGAGAGTTCTGTTCTATATTTAATGTAAGAGTGTTTTAATGACCATGTTTTGCATTATAACACCTGATTTAAATAGTCCAATAGGCATTGTTATTTCCAATCCTTCTGTCCCCCATAGATTCACATTTTTCGGTTTATCAAGGTTCTACTGTTTATTTGTTATTCATTAATTAGTAAAGATACATAGCTGTAATAATATGTGTTTATTAATTCCTCTACCCCTCATATACAATACTGTATATATCTCATAGGTAAAAATAACATAATCAAGAACACATCTCCAAATATGCAATACTGCCGAATTCATTTCTGTAACACAATTTGAACAGATTTTGTGAATAAAAGTATATGCAGTGTCTGTCCATGTGAGATGAGATGCTCAGGTTAGACTCTTAGAATACTTTCCTTAGCTCCCAGAAACACTTTGTTTATGTGGACTATTCTGTACTGTACTGTACCCAGAACAGCCTCTTTTCTTGGAAATCTCTCATCCCTGAAAGAGCTCTGCACCAATTTTTCAGGCTAATGGGGATATCATAGTTATTATTATTATTATTATTATTATTATTGGCAGTAGTAGTAGTAATAGCAATGGAATAAATAATAATAATAATATTATTATTATTGTTTTTACTTTATTTTGTCATTGTAAATATGTTCCAAATACACAATGGAGCTTAGAGTACCACATAGCTTACAAAGAGACACAATGTATCATAAACAAATGTGAAATACACAATTCTTTTTTTTTTATTTGAGGAAAAATTAACTAAATAATAATTTTAAACTGTATTACAAACTGCAGGTATAGCCCCTGGGTACTGTACTCACACTTTATATAATGATAAACAAATGACAAATTCACCTCCCATTTATTTTTTTTTATTTCAGCCACTGTAACATTAAATACCCTTTGAAAGGATAAACAAACAGAAAACTCACATTCTGTTGTTTCATTCCAGGAAAGACAATCCAGGCCATCGCATTTCTGAGTTACCTCTTCCACACACACCACATGTATGGTCCGTTTATTTTGGTCCTGCCGTTGTCGACGCTCAATGCATGGCAGAAGGAGTTCGCTACTTGGGCCCCAGACATGAATGTAATTGTTTACATCGGTGACCGTGATTCTCGAAGAATTGTAAGTTTAAAGTTTTTTATCAGTGGATATATTAATTTTTATCTGAAGATTAACCTAACCTAGTCTAGTCTAACCATAAACTATTCTAATCAATGCTAACTTTAACCTAATCTTACCTTGTAGCTTAACCTAATCTAACCTAACTTAACCTAATAGCCCAGGGAAATTAGGAAAAAAATTGTACTAATTCATAATGAAATGATACTAGGTACAAATAGTGAGAATACGATTCTAAGCATCCTGACCAATCCGAAGTGAGCTTTTGTCGCCATCTTGAAAAAATGGCAGCCGTTCTCAGATTTTCATGTTTTACTCATTAACCGTTGATTTTTGAGAGATGACTTTTAATACCAAAATTAAAGAGCACAAAATTCTGCACATTTTGGTATATTCAGCTTTTTGTACGATTAATACTTTCTGAGAAAAAAAAAATCTTCACTACTGGCTACACCCTTCACTATTGTTACATAATCTGGTACCGTTTTCCACATCACCCATGAGGTACAATATGTGGCACATTTTTGTCAATGTGGTATCCCCTGTAGGTCTATTCCATGATTAGTATTTTTATGACAGTTTCATTCTCTTTGCAACTTGTTCAGTACTAGTTGTTACACATGAAATTTATGAGCCAAATTCAGTGATGTGATAATTAAGGTCAGTATCAAATGTGCATTCATTCTCAGGAGTATCATTTACATTATAATCATCCACAGCAAAACTAAAATGGGTCTCATCATTACCCTTATAACCACTGTCAGTATCAACATCATCGTCTTGGAAAGTAATATTGTAGGACATACTGTTGGTATATGCTGTTCCTCGATAGTAACTGCATATATTCGAGCAGTTGCATCGACCATCACAACTTTTTTTGCATAAGCAGAATATTAGATTCAGAAGTGACTCTGGAGCTGCTGCCTGAAGGGTTGGAATAGTGAGCAAACTATTATGATGAATCTTCCATCTCCAAGAGTCAGGTGGTAATAGATTACCTCGCCTCAACTGAACCTGATGGTAAACTCTCAGAAAGTGCAGCTGCTGTTGTAGGCGGCAGTCTTGCAAGTTTAACTGTATTATTATCGAGACCAATTACTTTGTCAAAGTTCTTGATGCAATACTGATTTAAAGAGGTTTCACTCTTAGGTGCCTCATATAGTGCAAGAAGGAAAAGTTTTCCTACTCTAGCAGTTTCATCTGGGGAGGCATTCCTGTCATTAAAAACGTGCAAGAGAGAATGTATGTCAGTACGCTTTTGTAACAAGCTCAGAATTTTGTTTTTTCCTTTTTTGAAATACAGATGGAACGTGTTATAGTCATCACTAGTTCGCACGTCAAAATCAGCGTTGTCAAATACAAACTGAGAGAAAACTCCGTCCATAACTTCTGGGAACAGTTGCATGACAGTTGAGGCTTCATACAGAGCTGTTTCTTTGTATGAGGCACAAATGCCCAGCTTTGACAAAATATCCAACATCAGCTTTGATTCATATTTCCTGTGTATATACACTCTGAGACCAATATGAATCTGCAACAGGAAATATCGTGGCCTAACAGCTGAAATAATATTGTGAGCTATGACATCACACTTTTTTCCAGATGTTTTGTATCCCTATTCTTTTTCCCTTTTATGATGACATCTTTCAGAAATGTTTGAAGGGACAGAGGGATCACTTTTCTTACATCATTCAGAAGGTCTGCTGGTGGTGGATACTTATCATCCTCATACATCTGTGATCGTATATCTTCCTTTATAATGGCTGCTGCTGTCCGAACTATTCTCAGAGGTTCTTCATTTTCATTTCTTTCCTTTGAAACAGATCGCAGTTGGTTTATATACAACATCAGAAATAATTATATTGTCACCATAGTTCTGTATTAATTTCTTCTTTAATGTCACTTCTGCCGGCTTATATTCGTCCATTAACTGCACTAATTACTGCAATGAAAATTGGCAGTCATTGCTGTCCTCAATGGAAGAACACACTCGGACAAATGCTGATGCAAGGTCTTTCATCGGTGGTTGACTTCTTTTCTCATTTGCTGGCACACTTTCCAGAAAAGATGACATACAGTTTTCATTATTTACAGCTTCTTCAGCTACCAAGCAAGATACACCACATATTCGACTGCTTACTTCTCTTCCACAAGAATCACCCCGTTCATTCGCTTTCTCTAGAACCTTTTCTTTGAAGCCTAAAGTCCTAACACTCCAAATTTTCCGCCGTCTATGTACGGGTTTCTTCTTTTCCGAGTCTCTATTACATACGTCTGAACAAAAGAGGCAGCATCTCCTGAAATCAAATGCAGATATTGCAGATCTCAATTTTTCTTTTACTGGAGAAGCTGTCAAACTTCCATTTTCTGTAGTACCTTCCAATCACTTCATTACTTTGGCTTAAATTGTATCTTCCTTTGTGTATTCCTTCCTACAGTTTTCATGTACTCTTACTGTTTGCCTCCTCTTTCCAGAGTCCATTTCCCATCTAACATTTCACTGGTTCTAGTCCTCTCTTGACAGAGACTATACAGCCTTCCATCACATAAAAGACACAGTTCTTCCATATTCTGCAAGATGTTTCAAACGGTTTATAATTATATATCACTTTATTGTTCACTACATAACATAAATAGTTCTTCCATTTTCAGTATATTTCAAGTTGTCTATATGTTTCACTTTGTATATATAATATTTCACTTTGTAATTGTCTGTATTTATCATTTAAGTAAGTTAGTCCATTTCACATTAGTACCTGAAAAATAGAAAAGCAAAATAAACCTTATAATCTTGTTATTTTTCTCACCGGAACATAAAACAGTGTCAAAATTAGAGGTGGGTTGCAGCTATTGAGGAAACATAATGTTTGTTTTCTTAGAGAGTATTAATTCTACACAAAAGCTGATTATACTAAAATGTGCAGAATTTTATGATCTTTTATTTTGCCGTCTCCCTAAAATAAATGGTTAATGAGTAAAACATGAAAAACCGCAAATGGCCGCCATTTTTTCAAGATGGTGGCAAAGGCTCACCTCAGATTGATCAGGATGTTTAGTATGTTGTTAAAGAAAGTATTCCCAATAGTTCTACCAAGTATCATTTAATTATGAATTTGACCATAACCTAACAAAACTTTACCTCAGAAAACTTAATATGACAACAACCCAACCCAACCCAACCCAACCAGAGTTCTAAACTGATGTATTTTACAGGTACGGGAGTATGAATGGACACACTCCAGTAAACGTATCAAGTTCAATGCCGTCCTGACAACATACGAGATCTTGTTACGAGACAAAGAGGACCTTCGAGACTCGTGCCATTGGGCGTGTCTGGTGGTCGATGAAGCTCACAGGTGAGTCATGAATGGTTAGGTTAGGTTAATGTTTTATTTGGCAAGGATAGGATAAGTTTAGTTAATGTTTTGTTAGATTAACTCACTACAGTGGTCCCTCGGTTAACGAACACAATTCATTCCAGAAGGTCGTTCATTAACCGAAAATTTCGTTATCTGAAACCATTGTTTCAATGGGATTTTGGGTAATTGGTTCCAGCTCACCGAAAATTACATACAAAGTAAAAATAAATGCAGTAAAGTACACTTACTTTGAGGTGTGGATGTAGAAGGCTCCTGATTGATGATGATGATGATCGGAATTAGAAGTGGGGTGGAAGAGAAGTCACCCCATGCTTCATGCCGTCATTTCACCATAAAATTTTAGTTCACTTGGTGTAATTCAAGATTATTTTCTTTAAATCAACACTGCACTGCACTATACATTGTCAATATGTAAAATAAATTTCAGAATGACCAATAATTGTACTGTAAAAACGTAAAAATAGTTTATGTTCAAGAGAGCCTCAAGCAAGATGTTACCTCCACTGACCAGAGATACAAACTGACGCCTTGGTGGGTGAGTCAAGTGGCTGATTGGCGCACCAAAAACTAGTTTCCTGTACTGCAATTACGTTAAATAAGTGTTAAAATGACTAAAAAATTTAATATAAAACTTGGAAAATTATTGAATAGTACAACCTTCTTGATGTTTACTCAAATGGGAACAAATTTAAGCCCTAGAACCGATTACTGTATTGGCGGACTAATATTCCAGCTGGTGAGCAAGTGAAAACGTGATGAGAGGAATTCGTAAGGAATTCGTTAACCGAATTGAATATTCTTATGGAAGGTAATTCGTTAACCGAAATTTCGTTAACTGAGGGACCACTGTATGTAATTTTATCAAGATTTATCTTATCCACATATCCATTGTGGATCTACATGAAATATTTACACAAATGAATCATGGATTATACAAATTTTTCCGAGAAATCCATGACATACCCCTGGCAACATGCTTATTTACACACACAGGCTCAGCATCAGAATATATAAAGGTGCTTTAGGGTTCCATGGGGCAAGTTGCTGCTAGGTTTATTTTCAATTTAATAATGCTCTGTGGAAAAGGCCCGCCAAGCTCCAACTATTGTTTACCACTCATTTACAAGTTGGAAAATGAAGAACATACTGTCGACTGATAATGTTAGCATTTTAAAATAAAAGGATTTCTGGATGAATAACAAATGTACAATATAACATTTCTAAATGAATAACTAATTTATATTATTTCCTTTCAGTGAAAAACTAGGAATTACAGGTGTTTAAAAAATTTCTACTTCAATTAGCAACTGCATAATCTGAGTTCTATAAAATGAATGAAACTGTATAAATGAATAATGTTTGTAGTCAGCAATGTATAATCTTTCCTTCCAGATTGAAAAATGAAGAGTCACAGCTATACCAGGGATTGAAAGAGTTCCGCACCAACCACCGCCTCCTTATCACAGGAACCCCATTACAGAACTCACTCAAGGAGCTCTGGGCCCTGTTACACTTCATCATGCCAGAGAAATTCGACGACTGGGACTATTTTGAATCGCAGCACGATGGCGAGAATATGAAGAAGGGATTCCATCGCCTACATCGTCAGCTGGAGCCGTTCCTGCTGCGTCGAGTGAAGAAGGACGTGGAGAAGTCTTTACCGTCTAAAGTTGAGCAGATTTTGAGAGTGGACATGATGCAACAGCAGAAACAGTATTATAAGTGGATATTGACCAAGAACTATGACATGTTAAAGAAAGGTGAGAGAAAGAAAGAAAAGGGAGGGAAGGAGAAGGAGAAAGTGAGATGGAGAAGGGAAAAAAGAGAGGGAAAGGGGAAAATAAGAGAGGAGAAGGGGAGAGGGAGAGGGAAGGAGTAAGATAGAGGGAGAAGAGAGAGAGACTTATTGTCAAAAGTTGAGCAAAATGCATATAAATCCTATACAGTATATGCAAATATTTGGGAAAAAATGAAATATTAAAGAAAGGTAAGAGAAAGAGAGAAATCTGTACCATCCAGAGCAATAAATAAAGTTGCTATCTATCTATATATATCTATCTATCTATCTATCTATCTATCTATCTATCTATCTATCTATCTATCTATCTATCTATCTATCTCTAAAGTATAGTACTATATATTTACAGGCAGCAGAGGGTCAACATCATCATTTGTCAACATTATGATGGAATTGAAGAAATGTTGCAACCACTGTTTCCTTACTAAACAGCCTGAAGAAGTTAACAACTGTGACATACTTCAGGTGGGTCTCACATTCATCATATAATGTGTATACTGTATGTGTATAATGAATTGTAATAATTTAATGATTGTAAGGAAAAAAATATACAGAAAACCCTCGAAAGTTCAGATTTCAGATAGTCCGGACCCTTCCTAAGCAAGAACCATTTATTCAAACCCATAAGTATTTGTCGTTTGAAATTGCCGCCAGTGAGTAACCCCTTGACCTCTTTCCTGCTATCAGACCTGTGAGTGAGCAGCTTATTTCCCCACTCTCAGAAAGGACCTGCTTTAAGTTCAACACACACACACTCAAACAATGGCAATGGTAATCCTCCCAGGATGAAAGCATATGTCTCACACACACACACACACACACACACATACATATCTCTAAACTTCCCTCTTATGGTTTCTCTCCCCCACTTTGTTCTTTAATTTCTAGCTTCCTTGAGAACCGATCCATGGCAGTTGTTGTCGAGGGATCGATCTCTCGCTCTTTCTCTACCAATAGTGGTGTTCCACAGGGTTCTGTTCTTTCACCTACTCTCTTCCTTCTTTTTATCAATGATTTACTTCACACTACGACTAATTCTATCCAATCTTATGCTGATGATTCTACTCTTCATTCTTCTTCACATTTTCCCTTCCCCCCCTAATTCTCTAACTAGATCTGTTTCTAGAGCTGATATTACATCTATCAATGTGGATCTGTGTAGCATCTCTGAATGGGGAGGAAGAAACTTGGTTAAATTCAATAGTAATAAAACTCAGTATTTACCAGTTGCACTTTCCAAATTAGATAATCTCCCACCAATCACATTTCAAGCGGCAACCATTCTGCCAAATTCTAAAATAGATATGCTGGGCCTCACCATTTCCTCTAATATGTCATGGAAGCCACACATCCTCAACATAGCTAAAGCTGCCTCCCGAAAGTTGGGAATACTGTGCAGATGCCATAGCTATTTCACCCCTGAGCAGTTGCTTCAAGTATATAAGGGATTCATTCATCCTAACTTGGAGTATTGCTCTCATATCTGGGGTGACTCTTCTGCCCAACTGTTTGGTAGGGTGGAATCAAAGGCATTTCGTCTTAATAACTCTCTTTCTTTAGTTGATAATCTCTCTTCCCTTTCTCTTCGTCGCAATGTTGCTTCACTCTCTCTCTTTTACAGTTATTTGAAAATATAGGCTATTGGATGCCACGTTGGCGTTGCGAGGCTGAGTGTAAGTTTTTTCGCCTTTTATGTTCGGTGCCACAATGGCGTCGTGCGAGGCTGGGAGGGTTAAGTGCACAGTGACCCCCCATGAACCCACAAAAGAACTTGCTAAAAGTCCCAACAATTGGCAAGTCGTCTTTCTCCCAAAATTGTTGTTGACTTTCGAGGGTTTACTGCAAGGCAGAGAGTAGGATTGGTGAAGGAAATTGAGAGAAGGATTGACTGATAGAACCACAGAGACAGCGGAAAGTTGATTTTATTTGACAAACTTCTCTTTAAGATTGAGAGAGATTGGCCATACTGTCTTAATTTATCTATCTATCTCTGTGAAGTAATTGACATCAATGATTGATTTCTTTTGCCAGCAACTCCTTAGAGGCAGCGGAAAGTTGATGCTGCTGGACAAACTCCTGGTAAGACTGAAAGAGACCGGCCACCGCGTCCTCATATTCTCCCAGATGGTCAGGATGCTGGACATCCTGGCCCAGTATCTGCAGTACCGTCGATTTCCGTTCCAGCGGCTAGACGGATCGATCAAGGGCGAGGTCCGCCGGCAAGCTCTTGATCATTTCAATGCTGATGGATCGATTGTACGTTGATAGAGTTTGTGTTTTGGTGCCTGAGAATATTAGCCTAAAGTACAGTGTAAAGATATTCAGCCCTAGATTAATGTATAGACAGATAGCTAAATATTTAACCCAAGTTGGATTGATTGATTGATATGTTCACATCTCAATATTGAATAGATAGATAGATAAAGAAAAAGATAGATAGATAGATTAATTAATTTTGGGTATTTTCAGGACTTCTGCTTCCTGCTGTCAACACGAGCAGGTGGACTAGGGATCAACTTGGCCACTGCTGATACTGTTATCATATTCGACTCTGATTGGAACCCCCAGAATGATCTCCAGGCCCAGGCCAGAGCACATCGCATTGGCCAGAAGAACCAGGTATATATCTATCTATCTACCTATCCATCTTTCTTTCTTTTTATCTATCTATATCTATATATTTATCTATATAGCTTGTTTAGCTTTATTAACATGCTGTTTATCTATAACATATCTATAAGTCATTAAACATTTATGACAGTATGTTCTTCACAGGTAAACATCCATTGCCTCATTACAAAGGACAATGTTGAAAATAATGCATCATAACATGATCATTCACTAACAGCATGTTTTTTAGTTGCATATAATACTTGTTCTTTATATATAAATGTTCTAAACAGCTAAAACAAACTGTTCTTCACAGGTGAACATCTATCGCCTTGTTACAAAAAATAGCATCGAGGAAAACATTATAGAACGAGCGAAACAGAAGATGGTTCTGGACCATCTTGTTATTCAGTCAATGGACACTTCTGGCCGCACTGTGTTTAATAAGAAGATGTCAAGTGAGTGTGTGTGTGTGTGTGTGTACTAAAATAATGATAATAAACGGTTTATTAATAGAGTTGCAGTCAAATTGCTGTGGATCAATTGACTGATAAATACTAGCAAATGCCCATTCAAAAACAGTCTTCACAGAGTAGACTGGGTATGGGGGTAATGGCAACTGGCCTGAGGTCTTTAGAGGACTGTGGGGTGGGGACCTTGGGGATAGGGGTAACAAATGCGGTTTTCCATTCATTAGGCCATTTGCTTTGTCTGAGTGATGCATTAATAATGGAACAGAGGGGGGTGGCAAGTTTGACTGCAAACTCCTTGTAAATTTTGATTGGAAGGTCAATTGGGGTTGTAGAGCATTTGGATTTAAATTTCAGGAGTTTGTTGGCAATTTTAAATGTATGAACACTGGGAGGGGGGCAAGGGGAAGGTAAGTAGGCCAGGAGAAGAGTGAGGTCAAGACTGGGTAGGGTATGCCATATGGTAGAGATAAAAGGAAATGTGGGAGACTGACGGTTAAGACCACAGAAATCTTTAACCTTAGAGTACCACTGACCGATACCGACCTCGTTGAGGCAGTGCACTTTCTTGGAATAATAAGACTTCTTGGCTGATTTGATTTCCCTGCTGACCTGGTTACGTAGACTTTTGTACAGGCAGTTGTTGATGTAGTATGCCTTGTTGTGCTGCTCAATTAGTCTTTTGATACGGGGTGTAATCCACGGGACATCATCTGGGTGGATCCTCAGTGTCTTGGCTGGAAAGAAGTGGTGGTAGACCACAGTAGAGACTGGTGGGTGCTCCTCCCCACGGGAGGCAGCGGCCTGGGGGGATGGGGGTGGAGATTGTGGTTGCCGATATCAGTCATGATGAAGTCCAGGGTGGCATTCTCATGTGTAGGAAAGTCAACTATCTGTGCAAGGTGGAGGTGTTGGGTGATGTTGCTGATGTCTAACTCATTAAAGTCACCACATATCACTGGCTTTGCACATGGAAATCTGGATCTCAGGGAGTCAGCAGTGTCTATTATATGAGTAACCAGTACATTGGCAGTAGTTGAGCACGGGGGATGATAAGCCACACAAACAATGAGGGAGGCAAGCTGGCGGGGGTGGGAAGTGGGAGTAACCTTAACCCACAAAGCTTCAACATCTTCAGGAACATTAACACCTTGGGGTGATGGTTTAAGGTCACTGCGACAGTACAGCACTACACCACCACCTCTTCTGTCTTTTCTAAGTGGTGAAATAACTCATAGTTTTCTATGGCACAGATCTCGGGAACAATTTGTGTGTATGTGTGTGTAATAATAATTAGCGGTTTATTGAAAAAGTCGGTAGCCCGAAGGCTGAAAATATACTTTGGACAAAAATGACTTATTACATACAAATACATGGGGTGGGTGGGTTGTTTAACAAAAGCTTTCATTACTGAAAGAAGAAGGAACATGAATTGAACATACAACTTATTATACTGTAGTTTACAGTTGATGGCCCGGGCCTGGACTGGTCATGGGGACACCCGGTGGTGTGGTGTTCACGTGGTGCAGTAACTCGTCCTCGGGTGTTGATATGAAGGACCTCACGTAGTCATGGGGACACCGGGTGGTGTGGGGTGGTGTCACAGTACCCCACCCTACCAGGTGGTGTTGTGTTATCTCGTAGTCAGGTGTGAAGCCGACCCACTTGTTGTTCCCTGGGTGGACTGATTAGCACCTCCTTGTCAGAAGACGGCGGTCAGTTCCCAGGGGTGCTTGTCCCACTGGTGGGTCACGGCTCTCACTGGTACTGTCTAGTGCTGAATTCACTGGCTTAAACACTGCTCATCACTGTTCAACACTGGTCCCACTTCTTTCCGAAATGAAATTGTCACTTTTGATTATGTTGATATCTTTGTGGTAAGGATGGGTCAGGGAGAGGGACTTGGGGAAAGGGGCAAACATTGGCCAAAGGGGGGCCGCTGCTCACAGGAGCAGCGTCTGAATAGGTCTCGACCCTCCGGTGGTCAGGAATGTAGTGTGTGTGTGTGTGTGTGTGTGTGTGTGTGTGTGTGTGTGTGTGTGTGTGTGTGTGTGTGTGTGCGTGCGTGCGTGCGTGCGTGCGTGCGTGCGTGCGTGCGTGCGTGCGTGCGTGCGTGCGTGCGTGCGTGCGTGCGTGATAATTAATGGTTTATTGAAAAAGTTCTGCAGCCCAAAGGCTGAAAATATACATTTAACATAAATGACTTATTACATACATTGACATTGGTAGTTTAACAAAAGCCTTCATTAAAGAAAGGTAAAGGAACATACAGATTAATGTTTACAGTGGAGGTCACGTAGATCATGTGCGCTGAGGTGTTGAGCAGCAAATATGGTATTGTAGTAAATCCCTCACAGATGGTGTTATGAGGGGCTTGATGTGGTGTAATAATTCCCTCACAGATGGTGTTATGAGGGGCCTCACGTGGTTTAATAATTCCCTCACAGATGGTGTTATGAGGGGCCTCACGTGGTGTAGTAACTCCCTCACAGATGGTGTTATGAGGGGCGTGTGTGTCTGTCTGTCTGTCTGTGTCTGCCAGATACAGGAAAAGTGCAGAAAACAGCTTCAGGACCTGTACATGGCCTTCATTGATCTAACCAAGGCCTTCGACTCGGTCAACATGTTAGCCATTTTGGCTGCCCACCAAAATTCATCGCCATTGTGAGGCAACTCCACAGTGGTATGAATGGCAGTGTCCTGCACAACGGCACCCAGTCTGAGTTCTTCCCCATCCAAACAGGGGTTAAACAAGGATGCGTACTGGCACCAACTCTCTTTTCCATTTTCTTAGCTGCCTTCCTTACTCATATCACTGCCACTTTAGCCGGCGGGGTGGACATCGAGTACCAGATGAAAGGTCTTTTCAACATAAGACGACTCCAGGCAACAACAAAGGTGTCGGCAGCTTCCATTACTGAACTTCAGTATGCAGACGACCTCACCCTCGTCGCTCACACTCAGTGCGACCTACAAGAGATCCTGCACCTACGCAGATGCCCACTTCGGCCTTGAAGTGAATGTACATAAGACTCAGATTCTCTTTCAGCCTTCCCCTGGTTCAACCACACCTCCACCACCTCCACCACCTCCACCAAGCATCCAGCTTAATGGTACTACTCTCTCTAATGTTACCCACTTTCGGTACCTTGGCTCCCATCTGTCCACCACAGCGGATATCGCTGAAGAGATTCAGCATCAGATCAGCTGTGCATCTCAAGCCTTTGGCAGACTCTGTACCCATGTCTTCAGCTGTAGGGAGCTGAAATTATGTACAAAGTTGCACGTGTTTTGAGCAGTGGTCCTCCCCACCCTGCTATATGGCAGTGAGACATGGGTCACATACATGAGGCACTTCAAGGCACTTGAAAACTTTCACCAACATACTCTAGGTTCCATCCTCCGTGTTCGCTGGGAAGACAAGAGAACAAATGCCAGTGTTCTTGCTGACACCAACTGTAGGAGCATCGAGGCTACCATTATCCATGAACAACTACGCTGGACTGGCCATGTTGCCTGCATGAACGACAGTAGATTGCCAAAGCAGCTGCTTTACAGTCACCTAACGAATAGTAAATGTAATGCTGGCAGGCAACTGATGTAGCCCTCCACACGTGCAACGTCTGTGGAAGACCCTGTCGGTCCCATATCGGCCTCTCGAATCACTTCAAAGCTGACCAATGAAGGTGCCATCCTTAATAACTCATATCATTGTATCATTGGTGGAAGATCATTATACTCGATTTTGAGTGACAGCAAAGTAGTAGTAATAGTGTGCATCAGTGTGTGTGTGTGTGTGAGTTAATTTTCTATTTAAACTATGATATATACTACAGAGTACTGTGCTCTATAACTATCAACATGAGTATATTAATGGAATTAATAAACTCACAATAATGTTTTACATTTCAGACTCCAACTCCAACCCCTTTAACCGTGAAGAACTTAATGCCATCTTAAAGTTTGGTGCTGAAGAACTGTTTAAGGATGATGATGATAATGATGAGGAGCCTGTGGTAAGTGAGAGAGAGAATGTGTGTGTAATAAAAGAACTGTTTAAGGATGATGTAATATTGTGCTCACACATGGGAAAATCATAATCTGCAATCATAATTGATTGACAGTTTATGAAGTAATTGTAACGATTACGTTCTCATTTTGGGTAAAGTAATCATAATTGATTACATCCAAAATGTAATCGTAATCATGATTACTTTCACGATTACAAGAGTAAGTACATACTGCTACTTCATTTCCTTTTCTTATAATACCGACCTCATTATTTTCAATAGTCATCTACATTGGGTCCTTCATATGACTCGGCAAACATTCACCATCTATATTATGTCTGTTATACTAGGGTAACAAAATATTGAGTCAGTAAGATTTAAACATTCGTGCTGGTAACTACTGATTAAGCAAACACAGACTATACTAGCATGCAGACTTGGGCTAATCATTTCATCAATTACGTGAAGCTTCAGCAACAGTGAATTTGTTTATTCTTACAAGATTAAACCAGACTGCATAAGTTTAAACTACACGCGAACTGGACGTGTCAACCGTCTCACGGTGAACCACCCAAAAGAAGGTGATGCCATTTTATTTGTGTTTTTGTTTTGTAAACTGAATTCGTAATACTTATGAATTACAATTGTTAAATGTAATGTGCATACGATATCGATACAGCCTACAGTAAGCATACAGTTACCATCGCAAGCAAATATAAACAAACCACGAGTCAGTGTCAGCTGGTACCAGTTGTCCATCAGCGCTTGGTCCAGCGTAATGTTTCAATGCCCTGTGACTGTTGAACAAAACAAAGAATCCATGCCTCTCCTCACCTTGTAGTACTAGTACCTGTTGAGAGAGTATTCAGTGTTGCTGGCCAAATCTTTAGGCCACATAGTGAAAAAACCTTCCAGTCTAGTTTTAATTAAGTTCAACAAATTAATAATAAGTTTTAATTTCTATATACCTGTCCTGAGAAGGTGTAACCACTCAATATTTTCTTACTGTTATTGATGTATAATAATGAACTGTACATTTTATTTGCTTAAATTAATAGCATTAGATAGTTTTTATTCTTGAAACTACAGTATCTCTGATATAATGGACACAGTATGTTTCAAAAGCTCTGAGGTCTAATTCTTGTCTTAAGAAAAAATTAATGTTAAATTTACTACAGGAAAGCCTCCGATAACGATGGTTCTAATAACAACAATTCATATTTAAGACCCTGGTTAATTTAGGACCCATTTTAATTTACACCATTACTTTCTTCATATTTATGACGAAAACATTATAAAAAATAAAATAAAATTACATTTTCATGTAAATAATAACTAAATCTCGATATGTATTATACAAATAAAAAAACACGCTTTGCACGCGGAGGCTGCAGGGCTTGTAAGTGGTGACCCCAGCATCACTAGTATAAACATCGCAGCTGGCGGGCCTTTTGTTTTCACGTATCTGAACAGGAAAAGGAGAAAAGCATTCTCAGGTTTCTTATGGCATTTTTGTGTCCTTCAACATGAGCAAGAGAGCAAGTGTTGGTAGTGCTGGTTCAAAAGCTAATAGAAAGTGTATTAGCTTTTCAAGAAACTAGATGTGTTAAAATGATATGAAAAAGGTGAGAGGTCTGTGGATATTATATGGAGCAAGCAACGAACATATTTTCTGAAGTGAATCCATTAACAGAACAAAGCATTAAAATTAACAGGGACGTGAAAAACGCAAATGACCTCTACATAAAGATGTATAATGAGAAAAGTAAGCAGCTATGCAAGATTCTTTCAACAGCTTTATTATTCAAAGGCCTAAACCATCAACTTCAGCTATACCATCAAATTCAGCATCATAAGCAGCTTCAGTAACAACTTCAGGTTCAGTAACAGTTTCAGCAGGAGACTATAATATCTTTATGAAAAGCTTCAGCTTCAGCCTGAGTTGAACCAGATTGACGAAATCATCTGAGTAAAAACTCGCACAGTATTCATTGGCTGTCCTTATGTTTTAGACTTTATCACCATTTGTGAGTAAAACTTTTGTTTTACGTTAGTATTATTTAAAACATACATGAACATTAATATGTGTTGCCTTCATATTCTTATGTAGAGAAATGACGATGTTTTCACGTATACGCACTTACATACGTTAGCATTCCCAATCCATTTCGTTTTTTCTTACCATTATTGGTCAGCTCTTCTATTGTTCCATTTATTAACAGTAAATAACATTACCTAAAACATACAGGTATTCTTTTTTTTTTCTTCATTAAGTTCACTACAGTTACAACCAGGGTCTCATTTTCTTAGTCTCTTATGTAGAACCATCGACACTGACGAAAACAATGCCGTCTTGTCTCCTCTTGTGTTTTAATATTCTACGTATTATTAATGAATTGTATTGTTCATTTCGCATATATAAACATTAATTAAATCAAATACATATTCAGTAATAAACAATAATAAATCTGTTGTACATATTCTTAAGACAAATGACGCCGCTTCCTTGAGGGCACACGTATACATTGTCGTACCACTATCATTATTTCTTTTTTCTTTAACTGTACATTAAATAACATTAATTAACACATTCATATTTTTTTACATTCATTTTACTACAACAACAACCAGGGTCTTATTTTCTTCAATTTCAGATGGATAACTGACAATATGGATGTAAACATTTAACAACAATAGCATCCCATCTCCTCTTGTGTGACCAAATTAATATTAAGTTACATTGTATAAGGTGCATTCATAACAGTATTTAAAGAACACAGTTTGCATTTTCATTAATTGAATTGTTTTGGGGAAAAGAGGGTAAAAAGCCACACAATAGATATGAGAAGGTCACACTTGGGAACGCATCTCATTATTATTGCTTTATTTTAATGGTAATTAATGATACGATGATTCACCTTACACTGCAATATTGGAGGACACATTACCGTCCTTATTCGAGGCTTTACTGTATTACAGTACAGTATTGTTTTGATAATCTTCATTTACTGAAAGTAATGTCTTAGGTATATCTGAGTATGCAGTACAGTAGCCATACATTTATCACAGCACTAAATTACTATCCTCTTATAAGCATTTGCGTTTATAATATTCCAAAACTTGTGAACACTTAACAGTTATTTAGGTCAAATACATTTCTATATTTAATTTCCATATTAATCTTTTGAAAATTTACTGTAGATCCATCTATTAAAGATTTTGAATTATTTTTGTCTATTAAATGGCCAAACCATTATGTATAATGTCTGCCTTTTTCAACTCTTAGAAAATATCATTTAATTGCACCAGGTTGACAAACAGTACAGTAAATTGAGTTTCTGTAGTACGTTCATTTATTTACCCACAGTCCTTTAGAAGTATTCATGATTAGGCATCATGTAATCAATTACATCCATTTTTACTGTAAAATTAATGAAATTGCCATGTAATCGTAATTGTAGTCATAAAATTACCATGTAATCGTAATCGATTACATACATATTTGCTGTAATTGTAATCATAATATTACCATGTAATTGTAATTGATTACATACATTTTTACTGTACAGTAATTGTTATTACAGTCAAAATCATAAAATTACCATGTACAGTACTTGTAATCGTAATCAATTACATTATAGATGTAATCGTCCCATGTCTGATTGTACTTAAATGCGACTTACTATAATATTGTACTTAAATGAAACTTACTGTAATATTGTACTGAAGTAATATTGTTACAAGAGAGTAGAGACACAAGATTATATTGTTTTAGCCTAAGTAATATGATATGATTTCTCTATTGCTATATTATTTATGCTTCTATAAGCTCTTCCCTCTCTTGTAGTGTGACATCGACGAGATTCTCAAGAGAGCCGAGACACGTGAGGATGCTCCCTCTATGGTAGGGGAGGAGTTACTCTCAGCGTTTAAAGTCGCCTCATTTGCCTTAGATGAAGATGAGGAAGTCTCCAAGCTTGACTCAATTGCTGATGAAAACACCAAGGATTGGGTAAGATTAAATAAAGTTTTTTATTTAATATCTCACCACTTACCAGCACCTTTACTAGCAGTTGGTCTGTCCAGTGTTAGTACAGGAGGAAACCTGCCATGTTTAGTAGTGAGGGTCACACTGGATAACACCTTTCTCATGGTTTTTGGGGGTCTAAGCAGGACTTCAATCCATGACTTATTGGTTAGAGATGTGTATTGCAGTTTATCTAACATTATTTAAGTTTTCTAAGGTCCGACAATGTCTATATTAAGCTGTGTAAGGGCTAAGGCTATCTATTTCAGCTGTTATTTTAGCTTAGATAAAGATGAGGAGTTGTTGACGCTTTACTGCTAAAAAAAATACCAGTTATTGGGTAGGATTTTTGTTTATGGTGTTTTCTTGTTTCTTATGTGGTTATCAGCTTATACATGGATCAAACACAACTACAGTGACTTATTTGTGTGTGTGTATATATATATATACTGTATATAATTTTAATTGAATAATACAAAATAAGTACTGTAAGTTGTATTTAAATACAGAATAATTGTCATTAAGGATTGTAATAGATTATGGAACAAAATTTTATCGATGTACAGGTAATTATAATTATGTTTACAATCAGTTACGTATATAAAAATAATACTAATTTAAAAAAAAAACAGCAATACATTTAACTATAGATGATTTTATTTAATTTTAGGATGAAATTATACCCGACGATTACCGGACAAAAGTTGAGGAGGAAGAACGTCAAAAGGAAATGGCTGACTTATATTTACCTCCTAGAAAACGGAAAGCAGTTAACCAAAGTGGCCAAAAGGTATGTTGAATTATGTTATATTGTACGGTACATTACTGTATAGGAAATGGGTTATGGACTTTGAGATTAAGTCATTTAGTCAGAAAGTGGGAGGAACAATATTCTTCACAACAGGAGGAAAAAAGTCCCGTTATTAATTTTTTTTTTGTGATAGAATATGATAGAAAACTGGTATTGTTAGGAGAGAGAATGGCTTAAAATTATAGAAAAACAGTCAATCAATAAGAAAATGGCTTAACCCTTAGGCCCTGGGTCACGTTCTAGAACATCCGCCTATTCCTGCCACTTTTTTATTTATCCGCGCGTGGGGGGGGGGGGGTTACTGCCAACAGCACCCTAACCCAGGGCTTAAGGGTTAAAATTATAGAAAAACAGTCAATGCATCAATTAGAAAACATGAAGATTAATCCATTTTCTTCACTGTAGGAGGAAGAAAAACCCCGGATGAAGAGGAAGAAAGATGACAGTGAGTCAAGCAACGATGACACGGACGATGATAGACCCAAGAAGAGAGGGCGACCTCGGATATACCACAAAGAGACCAAAGGATTTACGGATGTTGAGGTAGGATTCAATAAAATTTAAGAATGTTTAGGTAGGATTTATAGACATTTATGGACATCGAGGTAGAATGTTTTGGTATTGTGGAAGGATATACAGGGGGTCTCCTGTTACGAACGAGTTCCATTCCCGAGGACGTTCTTAAGTTGGAAATGTACGTAAGTCGGAACACATACCTTATGTGCAGTATATCATAGCTCAAGACCTTTTATACATCTCGAATCACTTAATTTAAGAGAAAAGAAGAAATTGAATGACAAAATACAGTAAAGGAAAGTAGAAATTAAAGTTTAACATTTACTTTGAAACCTTGGGCTGGCTTGCATGTAGAGATGGGCATTTGTAGGAAACACAGAAGCTTTATTGGGATGAAACTGAAGATGGTGATAATGATGTAGATTTTAACTGGATTGGTTCTGGAGAATCTGGTGAGGTAGAATTAACTGGTTCTGGTGTTGCTGGGAGTTGCTCTGTAGATGCTGCAGAGGTTGATGGGACTGGTTTTGGCTGCCTTTTGACTTTCTTAAAAAACTTTTCAAGGGATGGTTGAACTGAAACTTTCTTCTTTTCCTCATAAATCTGTTTGTAGCATCATAGACATTCAGTAATACCTCTGTGAATCTTGCTATGTTGGGATCTTGCTCTTCAAATTTAAACAATCCTTCTTCAATAAGACTGAAACCATCTGCCATATCTTTTGTAATGAATTGCTTTGGTTTTGGAGTTTCAACTTCCTTTACGTCCTCTGACAAAATGTGCTTCACCGGTTCAATCAGGTCCCCATTGCTTAATTCTTCAGCATGAGACTCAAGCAACTGTGTGATATCATCCTCATGAATATCAAGCTGGAGTTTGTTTCCAAAGTCTACCACTGTCTGTGTCACTTCCCCAACATCATTTTCAAAGTCCCTGAAATCATGAACAAACTGTGGGCAGAGTTTTTTCCAAACACCATTCATGTTGATTTCTTTTACCTCAGCCCATGAATCTGCAATGATTTTCACAGCATCAAAAATATTTTATGACATCCAAAATTCCTAGAGCAAATGTCTTTCTCAGGTAAGATGCTTTTAATGAAGCAATAACTCCTTGGTCCATCATCTAAAAGTGCAGGAAGGCCACAGGTGCATTGTCAAGAACCAATAAAATCTTAAAAGGTATTAACTTTGATATACAATATTGCTCCACTTCAGGCACAAAATGGTTGAGGTACAAGTTTTCAAAAAGAGCCAATGTCACCCAAGCCTTCTTATTAGATTGCCAGATAACTGGAAGTGCTGCCTTCAAAACACCCTTCAAAGCTCTAGGATTTTCTGACTGGTAGACAAGCAAAGGTTTTAGTTTGTAGTCCCCAACAGCTTCCCCCTCCCCCCCCCAGCAGTAAGGTCAACCTCTCCTTGGCAGCTTTATGCCCTGGTGCCGTTTTTTCACGAATAAACTCATTAAGAAAAACATCATTACTTCAGGACGAAATCGAACAGGTTTGCAACAGCCAATCAGCTCTAACTCTTGAGAAGTGGGTGGGGCATCTTTTCTCAGCTGGGAAAAAATGCACTATAGCAACAAAATCTTCCCCATCACTTTCACCACCAAGTTTAGCCTTCAAATCAGCGTGCAAGCTTCTTGCCTTTTCCTGAATCAAGGCTATACTTAGAGGCTGATGTTGTTGATTTTGATCATCCACCCATATCACTAACAATCTTACTATTTCAATTAACAATCCACTTCTTTGTTTTGCTATCACAGTTGAGTGCATTGGTGTAGATCCTTTAACATGTTCAAGAATTTTCTGTTTGTCTTTCAAAATTGTTCCAATTGTTGACTGACTGAAGCCCAACGCTTTACCGATCACAAAGGATGTCTCGCCTTTTTCAGAACGTTTAATTACATCATATTTCACTTCCATTGTAATTGTTTTCCCTTTCTTGGATGCACTACTATTACTTGCATCAGGTTTGTGTTTGGGAGCCATGATGAGGGCCGGAAAAGAGAGTTAATAAGCAAAAAACAACAGTTTGCACTTGATCTCGTACGTTAATGTGGTGAGGGTAATGAGTACTGACGCTCCCTAAGGCGTGTGGCTGGGCATGGCGTATCACTCTCCTTGCGCCGCCACCCCCTATGCTGCACAAACTAGTTCTCGTACGTAAATACTACGAACCATTTGTACTTATATTGGATTCTTGACCTTATGGGACCTTGTTCTTATAATGGCTGGTGTTGGTAAGACAGGGACCCCATGTATAGATATTAAGGGAGGATTTATGGATATTGAGGAAGGATTTATGAATATTGAGGGATTTGTGGATATTGAAGGAGTTATGGATATTATGGAATGATTTATTGATATTGAAGAAGGATTTATGGATATTAAGGAAGGATTTATTGATATTGAGGAAGGATTTATGGATATCGAGGAAGGAATTATGGATATCGAGGAAGGATTTAAAGATATCAAGGAAGGATTTATGGATATTCAGGAAGGATTTATGGATATCGAGGATATAACATAAGTTGTTGATCTACTTACTCTATTCAGCCGGGGCAGTACTGGAATTAATTATAGGTGGGTCACTTGACTCTATATACTCTGGTACCCATCCATCTGTTATGGGGGCCTTTTTAAGGTTAATGTATTAATTAGGAAAGGAAATAGAAAGAGATATCTTCCAAGTTAAATTAATTCAGCAAAGACATGATATGAAGTCATCTGCATTCGTCCTATTTCTAACTAGTTACAGTGGGGGGGAAAAAGGAATTTACTATACACCCGCACGACTGCAGAAAAACATTAAAATACACATTACAAAGCCTCAGTACGGCACTCACAGGGCCACTTAGGGTAACCTCCGCGCACTATCACTTCAACAGCTAAAACTGTCTGGCTTAACACTGCTTACTCGCTGCCGAACAGACATTCTCAGTGTCCAATCAGAGCAGGTTCTTTTTTCCAAGATCCTTATGTTCTGTTACACAGTATGGGCGGAGCTATCCTAATGGCACCTCATATAGGGAGAATTTATATATTGTAAAGGAAGGATTTATGTGTATTAAGGAAGGAATTTTGGATATTGAGGAAGGATTTATAGATATTGACATAATTTTTTATATTTATATTATATATGTGTGTGTGTGTGTGTGTGTGTGTGTGTGATTTATGTACATTGATCTAGGATTTATGGACAGAAAGGAAAGAAGTTATAGGATTTAAGGACTAAGTACAGTATTTAGGGCATTTACTGACTCTTAAGGTAGGATTTATGGACTTATAGATTGGCTTCATGGACATTAAGAGAAGATTTAATACTATTTTAAAGGTAGTGGGCAGCTACCAAACAGGGAGGTACTACCACCTGGGAAGATATTGGAAGCATAATGTGTTGTTTAATGGTAGACCAAGTCCCAGGTTGATGATCTGACTTTCTGCCTCATTTATACACAATTACAGGGCTTCAATTGTTTCTCTTACTTTGACAACACAATATACATATATTATTTCTCACTACTGAATTTTAATTTTTTTTTATTTCTTTATGGTTCTTTTTTATGACAGTATTATTATTATTAAAATTATTATTATTATTAGTTTTGTTATTTTTCTTATTATTGTTATCATTATCATTATTATTTTATTATTTTTATTATAAAGTTTATTTACAATTAAATGTTTTTATTATTATTATTATTATTATTATTATTATTATTATTATTACAGGTATTATAATTATTATTATTATTATTATTATTATTATTATTATTATTATTATTATTATTATTATTATTATTATTAAATTTTTGCCCCCTGGGCCCCAATATCGGTCAGTGACCTGTGCCCGGGTGGGCTAATCCCCCCAAAAAAAGAAAAGAAAAAAAAAGGATTTGAGATATTTTTAGACAGTACTCGTTGATGTCTAACGTAATTGAGCTTAAAATTTAATGTAATTTGGTTTCAGTTCATCTTAATTTTGCTAATTTTGTGTGATAAGCTGGACATTTAATATAATTCAGCTTAACATGAAAGAAAATATATCTACTCTAGCATAATTTAGCTAATTTAGTGTACCTCTGCATAACATATTACATAATTTAGTTTAATATAGCTGACCTAACATATATCTAGGCAATGTAACATACACCATAATCCCTGACAGGTTAGACGGTTCTACAAGAGCTTCAAGAAGTTCTGTAACCCTCAAAGACGCCTGGACACCATTGCCGTGGATGCAGATCTCCGGGAGAAACCCATGACAGACCTGCGCAAATTGGCGGAGACCATCATTGAGCGGTGCCAAGAGTCCATGAGGGAACAAGAAGCCACAAAGGAAACGGACAAGACTTCTGACATCAATGGTGAAAGTACGTTGAAGTGTATGTGTTTGGTATTTAAACCTAACCTAACTGAAAGGTGGCTATGCAGTGTAATCTAAGGTAACATAATCAAACCTAACCTAACTGTAGGGTGACTCAATGTAATGTAATCTAAGCTAATGTAATCAAACCTAAACCTTAGCTAACTGTAGGGTGACTCAATGTAATGTAATCAAACCTAACCTAACTGTAGGGTGACTCAATGTAATGTAATCAAACCTAACCTAACTGTAGGGTGACTCAATGTAATGTAATCTAAGCTAATGTAATCAAACCTAAACCTCAGCTAACTGTAGGGTGACTCAATGTAATGTAATCTAAGCTAATGTATCAAACCTAAACCTAAGCTAACTGTAGGGTGACTCAATGTAATGTAATCTAAGCTAATGTAATCAAACCTAAACCTAAGCTAACTGTAGGGTGACTCAATGTAATGTAATCTAAGCTAATGTAATCAAACCTAAACCTGAGCTAACTGTAGGGGACTCAATGTAATGTAATCAAACCTAAACCTAAGCTAACCTAACCAAATATAACCTAATCTAGCCTATTTCTCACAGGTCAGCCAAAGCAGCGAAGACACAGAGGCCCATCATTTAAACTGTCAGGTGTTGCCATCAATGCAAAGACGACCTTGAGCAGCATTGAGGAATTAATGCCACTAGATAATATCGTCCCCCACGCCCCGGTCGAACGTGCCTCTTGGATGCTGAACATCAAGAAGGTCAAAGACGTGCATTGGGACGTACCTTGGGGTATTGCTGACGACTCCAGGTGAGTTTTAGCACCCTAAGTTAGCCATTTTGTGAAGTGGCATATTGTATTTTCTGCACCGGGCACCCTGAGTTGACCCTATTGTGAGAGTGCTCCATGTATTAAGCTCATTGGGATATACCTTTTGTGCCATTGTGGATGATTCTAGATAAGTTTTGGGACCCTGGTTTACTGTTGGTTTGATTGGTTCCTTGTGTGTGGTATTTCATGTCGCAGCACCAATAATAAGTGTGCCTTGTGTATTAGTCTTACTTGTGGATGTGAGTAGGTGTTTATTTGTTAATAAAAGAAATTAGATAGCTTGGTGTTTGGATTTTGATGTGTATTTGGTCAGGCTAGGGTTGAGGTTAAACCCCAGTTCTTTGATATGTTTGGGTGTGTTTAAAAAGAAAAAAATGTCATTAAACCAAATACTTCCCTCATCACAAATGTCCAAACACAAAAACTCTGTAAAACAGCAAAAATTATTTATCTTCTATTGTTACTGCCAAATACCCAAGGGGCACTAAAATGATTTTTTTGCATCAAAATAATGAAACACTTTCTAAATTTTTGTTTTTTATGCCAAACATGCAGGCATACACACAATAAAATACACACAGGCACATCCAAATGCACACCCAAACACATTGAAATGCACACTCAAACACACCTAAACATGGTGTCTTTTTATCTAAGTTTACTTCAAGGATGACTTTAAGGCAGATCCAAGCATATCCAAACACTGTGTTTTTTTATTTAAGGTTACTTCGGGGAATATATGAGTACGGCCTCGGGTCTTGGGAACAGATCAAGGGCGACCCTGCGCTCAACCTCGATGACAAGATCTTACTCGAGGGCGAGTCCAAACCTCAAGGGAAACACTTGGAAAGTCGTGCTCAATACCTCCTCAAGCTTATTAAAAAGCACATGGGTCTTGGCCCTATCAAGGTTGGTTTCCAATTTCTGTCACCAGGGGCAACTACTCATTTTCTCATTTCCTATACAGTAAAGCCTCGAATAATGGCGGTAATGTGTCCTCCAATATTGCAGTGTAAGGTGAATCATCGTATCATTAGTCATTAATTACCATTAAAATAAAGCAATAATAATGAGATGCGTTCCCAAGTGTGACCTTCTCATATCTTTTGTGTGGCTTTTTACCCTCTTTTCCCCAAAACAATTCAATTAATGAAAAATGCAAACTATATTCTTTAAATAATATTTATGAATGGACTTTCTACAATATAAATGAATAATAATTTGGTCACACAAGAGGAGATGGAATGCCATTGTTTTGGTTAGTGTTTACACCTGGAATGATGGTTCAACTTAAGAAAATGAAGAAATAAGACCCTGGTTGTAGCTGTACTAGAATTAGTGTAAAAAAATTATTATAAATATTTGAAGTAATGTTATTTAATGTTAATAAATGGAACAATAGAAGTAGCTAACCACTAATGTCAAAGAAAAAAGCGTGATGGATTGGGAACGCCAAAATATACGTGCGCACTGAAGGAAGCAGCGTCATTTGTCTTAAGAATATGTACAACAGATTCATTATTGTTTGTGACTGAATATGTATTTGATTTAATTAATGTTTATATATGCGAAATGAACAATACAATTCATTAATAATACGTAGAATATTAAAACACACAAGAGGAAACGAGACGGCATTGTTTTTGTCAGTGTCGATGGTTCTACTTAAGAAACATTAGAAAATGAGACCCTGGTTGTAGCTGTAGTGAACTTAATGTAAAAAAAATTAATACCTGTATGATTTAAGTAATGTTATTTAATGTTAATAAATGGAACAATAGAAGAGCTAACCAATAATGGTAAAGAAATAAAGCAAGATGGATTTGGAATGCTAACGTATGTAAGTGCGTACATGTGAAAAGTATCGTCATTTCTCTACATAATAATATGAAAGCAACTCTGGCTGAAGCTGTAGCTTTCCATAAAGCTGTTGCCAAAACTGCTACTGAACCTGAAGTTGTTGCTAAAGCTGCTTATGATGCTGAATTTGATGGTGTAGCTGAAGTTGATGGTTTAGGCCTTTGAATAATAAAGCTGTTGAAAGAATCTTGCACAGCTGCTTTCTTTTCTCATTATACATCTTTCTGTAGAGGCCATTTGCATTTTTCACGTCCCTGTTAATTTTAATGCTTTGTTCTGTAAATGGATTCACTTCAGAAAACATGTTCATTGCTTGCTCCATTTAATAACCACACTCTCACCTTTTTCATATCGTTTTAACACGTCTAGTTTCTCGGCTAAGCTTATGCACTCTTATTAGCTTTTGAACCAGCACTACCATCACTTGCCCTCTTGCTCAAGTTGAATAGGGACGCAAAAATGCCGTAAGAAACCCGAGAAAGTTTTTCTCCTTTTCTTGTTCAGGTACGTGAAAACAAAGGGCCCGTCAGCTGCAACTGTTTATATTAGTGATGCTGGCATCACCACTCACAAGCCCGGCAGCATCCATGTGCAAGGCGTATTTTTTATTTCATTTTTTTTATAATACATATCGGGATATAGTTATTATTTATAAGAAAATGTAATTCATTTTTATTTATTTTTATTCTATTTTCCTCTTAAATACGAAGAAAATAATGCCGTAAATTATCCAGGGTCTTAAATATGACTTGTCATTAGTAGAACCGCCGTTATTGGAGGCTTTCCTGTACTGTATTTTGTTGCCTATTATTAATTTGGTTCATCATTTCCTACACTGTATTTTGTTACCCATTATTAATTTGCTTTATCATTTCCTATATTTTGTTACCCATTATTAATTTGCTTTATCATTTCCTATATTTTGTTACCCATTATTAATTTGCTTTATCATTTCCTATATTTTGTTACCCATTATTAATTTGCTTTATCATTTCCTATATTTTGTTACCCATTATTAATTTGCTTTATCATTTCCTATATTTTGTTACCCATTATTAATTTGCTCTATCATTTCCTATATTTTGTTACCCATTATTAATTTGCTTCTTCATTTCTTACATTTTGTTACCCAGTATTAATTTTCTTTCTCTACCAAGTATTATTTTCTTTGTAATTTCCTTAATTTATTCAAGTCTTGTATTTTTTCATAACCACTTGGGTATGAAAGGTGGTCCCTCTGTGCTGAATAAAGTTGTCTCGTTATCCAAATGAAATATTAAATGTGAGGTCTTGTAGTGAAGGGGTGGTGGGCCAGTTCCATTTCTCTCTTAACCACATTTTCTATTGTCAGCAGACAAACATACGCAAGGTAATGAAACCCAGGAAAGGGATTAAGGAGCCAAAGGGAATCTCCAAAGCCATTATAGAAAATGATGACAGTTCTGATGATGGTATCGGTCACCCAACCCAGTCAGGACCTAACTCTGCAGCCAAAAAAATTAAGGTTGCTCATGTAAGTCTGTGTGTGTGTGTGTGCACGCATTTTGTTAGTGTTAAGGTGCAGGCACTGCTTGATTCCTCTCGCTTTCAGCTATCGCTGCTGGCTAGCCTTTATGATGAACTGGGAAGCAATCTTGTGTAAGTCTTCCCCTGCCAGTACACAGCTCCTTCACCATCAAAACTCCTGCTGTGCCTCCTTGTGGTGACTCACGGTGCCTTGTGGGCCCAGGCTAGACCAGTAGGGGATCTTGGAGCAGCATTGGGCTTCAGAGGGATGGCGCATAAACCCACTAGCATGTGGACATGTCCTGCGGATTAACTCTAGTAGGTATAAGGAAAAATCTGCGGTTGAGCCCCCGCATCAGGCAGACATGCTTACAGAGCTCCAACAAAACCCCATTGATGGTATAGGCAGAAGAGGTGACCACTGGGACCCCTACGACTACACTGGCAGGTGAAGGCAATGCCTGATGGACAGGTTACTAAAGTAAAACTTAACAAACTGGGCTATTGACAGTCCATTGCAACTCTCCCTGTCCCCAGTCATTGCAACATTTGCACCACTGGATCAGGAAAAGGGAGAGCCAAGATATGTGGTTGCAGCCTGCACTCTTGCCTCACCACATAAATCAACCTACAGTGACAGACGAGTGGTGACGGAGACAGGCACATGGGTGACATAGATATGATGTCGTTTGTGCACTGGGAACTAGGCAGCAGTGTAATTCGGTCCTGTCAGTGCGACTGAGCAACCCTTACCAGGAGCCACTATGCTCACCCCACATGGGGAGGGGGCTAGAAAAGGTGCCTTAAACATAGCCTGCCTAAAGAACCAACCTGACTGGGCAACTACACCCAGTAAGGTGGTCAAAAACATAATCACAATTATAGATCAAAGCAAAAGCAGACTAAACAACTTCTTATGGTCGCTGCATGGAATGTCAGGACCTTTCTGGAAACTGGCACAAATGAGTGTCCTGAAGGAAGAACCGCCCTTGTGGCAAAAGAGTTGGCTAGGTATAACATCGACATAGCAGCCATTAGTGAGTCCCGGCTCCCAGATGAGGGACGACTCACAGAACGGGGGTTTGGCTACACCTTCTTCTGGAAGGGTACGCTTGCTGAGGAGGTAAACTGCATTTATGGAGTTGGCTTTGCCATTCGCCAATGCATCCTACACAAGCTAACTGAAATGCCTGTTGGGATCAACAAGTGCCTCGTGGCACTTTGAGTCCCACTGAATCACTCATGTCACGCCTTCTTCATCACTGCATACACCCCAACACCGGATGCACAGGATGACATCAAGGAGGCCTTTTATGCCAACCTTGACAGAGTGCTAACCTCTATCCCTAGAGAAGACAAGGTTGTGCTGCTAGATGACTTCAATGCCAGAGTTGGCAGAGATGCTGACATATGGTAGGGAATCATAGGGAGAAATGGAGTGGACAGGTGTATTCCCAACAGCCTACTCCTCCTCAGGAAGTGTGCTAAACACAACCTCATTATCACCAACACCTTGTTTAGCCTAACCGACAAGTTCAAGGGTGTGTGACAACACCCACAATCCAAACATTGGCATCTCATTGACTACATCATTGTCAGAGAAAGAGATTGCTGAGATGTGGCTTAGACTACTGTAATACAGATCATTGGCTTGTTAGAGCCAAACTCTCCCTTCACGTTACCCCAGAACGGCAAATGCAACAAGCCTCCATAAGAGGCTTTAACATCAAGCGACTGGAGGCTCCAGCGGTAGCACATGATTTTAAGAGAGCAGCTCGAACATGGGCTGATAAACAACCCAACAACAAACAAACAAAATCCCAGTACTGAATGGGGTCCCATCAATGATGTCATCACAAAAATCTGCAACGAGACACTAGGCATGATCAAAAGAAAACACCAGAATTGGTTTGCTGAAAATGACCCAGAAATCAATGTACTCGTCGATGATAAATGTGCTGCCTTAACTGACTGGCAGAATAACCCTCAGACTTGGATCAAAGCTGATACCTTCCGCAAGAAGAAACCGGCTGCCCAGCGTGTTCTTCACAATCTAAAGAAGGAATGTTTGAAAAATAAAGTGTGTGAAATGCAAAACCATGCCGATCAACACAAGATGCGGGAATTTTTTAATTTCGCTAAAACAATATATGGCCCAACTACTCATGGCATGGCCCCCCTCCGCTCATCCGGAGGTAACTCTAATTAAATACGAAGAAGGCATCTGTTGGTGCTGGAGAGCACTACCATTCACTGCTCAACCGAAACACCGATGTGGATGTCCTAACTACCCATCAGGTTCCTCATCACCCAGAGCTGACCCACCTCAGCTGTCCTCCATCCCTGGTAGCTATTGCCATCAACCAGATGAAAAATAACAAAGCCATAGGGCCTGATGGAATCCCAGCTGAGGTGAATAAAGCAGGAGGACCTCTGCTTACCAGCCATCTCCACTCTCTCCTGGAGAATATATGGGAAAAGGAGGAAATCCCCCAAGCTCTTAAAGACGCCACCACTGTTAATATTTATAAGAACAAGGGAGACCGGTCAGACTGTGGCAACTACCGGGTATTTTCATTGAAATATTACATCACAAGTATATTTTACGTTAGCTGTGATTGAATGAATATATTCTCAGAAATAAATATGGAAATGTAATATTTTTGCTGAAATGACGTACGAATTACAGTGGAAAATGGGATAAAATCATGACGAAAACAATGACTTTCGCTTTCTTTCGTTGTTCAAAAGATTTTACCGTGATCGCTTTTCGAATGGTTTTCAGTTAAAAAACTGTTCCATTTTTAGGAATGTTTCTGACTTTATGCATTTTTTGGCTTTACTTTGTATGTACTTTTTCTGTGAATTGGAACCAATTACCCAATATCATTGAAATTATAGATTCAGTTCACAAAATTTTTGGTTAGCAAACGACTCTGTGGAACCAATTGTGTTCGTTAATCGAGGGACCACTGTAAAACTATAAAACATGTTTATATCCTTAGAATAACTGTGTTTGCAATAACATTGCCGTACTGACAAAGTATACTGTAGGTACTAGAACCACACTTCCACAGAAAATGAGCCATATCTCAAAACTTAAAGTTATCATCATTTCAACGTGCATTACTCCATTATTTTTCAACCAATATTAAAAATGAAGATAACTTTAAAAAAAGGACTAAAAGGTGGATTTTTTATTGGCAAAATTTGCATGGAGTGGGAATTTTTTATTTTCAAATTTCCCAAAAATTTTTGGGAACAGCAACGAAAACAGTTTGGTTAAATGTTGGTAATACAAAATGTAGGTGTGGGTTTGGGCATTACAGGGACCAATTTTCAAACATATATGGATGGAATGCAATTATAGAATGATAAAAAAATTTGTTAATTTTTTACTCTTTTTTTATTTCCCTCAAAATATATTGTTTCAATCTCTGTTAAACTTACAGAATCTCATAGTTAGGCAACTCATCTTAACACAAATTAAAATCACGGAAGTCAGCCAGAAGGCTGAAATACATTGGGCAGAAATGACTTATTACATACAAAGACATGGGGTGGGTGGGTCATTTAACAAAAGCTTTCATTACTAAAAGGAGAAGGAACATGAATTGAACATACAAATGAAAGTTGATGGCTCGGTTTGGTTTCTTGCCCTACTATGTGAGGTCATGTTGGACAAGTATTGTAGTGACTCGTCCTTGGGTGTTGATATGAAGGACCTCATGTGGTTATGGAGACACCAGGTGGTGTGGTGTCACAGAACCTTACTCTCTGCAACTGAATTCACTGGCTTAAACACTGTTCAATACTTAACTCACTCAATTCCAAAACAAAATTGTGTGTGTTTATGGGTGGGTGGGTTTAAGTGTATGTTATTATGATATGGTTTCTTCATTATTATTAAATATCATTTATTTATCACAGGAAACAAAAGAACACAAAGAAAAACCAAAAGTCAAAGAAACAAAGGAGGAGAAGGAAGACACAGATAAAACAAAGACCAAAGAGGAACCAGAAAACAAGGAAGCAGAGAGAACAAAGAAGAAGAAAGATAAAAAAGATAAAAAAGATAGAGACAAAGAGAAGAAAGATAAAGAAAGAGATAAGAAAGGAGGAGGACCTCTTCACATTACAGCTAATGGAGAACCTGTCCCTCTAGATGATTCCAAGGAACTGGACAAGTCTCACCCTTTGTGGGATGAGGTAAGTTGTGTTTAACTACAATCTAACAGACTTGACCTGACCTAACCTAACTTAACTTAATTTCAAGTAACCTAACCTAATCTCAAGTAACATACCGTATTTTTCGGCTTAGAAGACACACTTTTTATTACAAAAATATACCTTGAAAATTACCATGTGTCTTCCACGATGCTAGTTGATAGTTGTAACAGTTTTTCTTAGGGTCAACTGAAATCAGCCCCTTACAAACACTGTTACCTCATTACTGTACTTAGTAATTACAAGTATTCTCTATACTATAAAACAATTGATTTAACTAATATTGTTGATATACTGCGAAAAATATGATTATTTATTTACTCGGTAGGTAAAAAATAAACAATATACAGCTGCAGCTACACAACCCTTGCTGCTGTGCGGTTTGTTTACTAATGGCAGTGGTGCGGCAGCGCCATCTATTGAGGAATTGCTTAAGGTTGTCTGCTGGTCTCAAAGTGCAGGAATGTGTGTTTCTTCACACTTGCTTACCAAAAATTTTAATTCAACTGATTTTTACCGCGTTGCTTTTTTACTTTTATTATTATTTTTTTTAAATAAGGATTTTTTTTTCTTTAGACGTTGATATACATGTTTACATTTGCTTACCTTCTACTGTTGGAAAATATTTCCCGTCGTTGTCATGCCGACAAAAACAAGAGAAAGAATGTAAGCACTACAGCCCGCTATACGCGGAGGTGACCAGGTGTATAAAATGAGTGCTCTATTAAAGATTTCACCTTATGCAGATTTTGTTTTTAAATTGATGAAAATGTCGACTGATAAGCAGTTCTAAGTGATGATATTCAAAGAGGTGTGTGCACTTGTGCCAAAAGGGCTGTATATCAAGCAACTGTTTCACTGGTGTCGATTAGTAAGTATAAAAAGTTTTTTCCTAGAATTACGTTTCCAAAATCAGGGTGCGTCTTCCACGATGCAGCGTCTTCCAAGCCGAAAAATACAACCTCAAGTTTACAATAACATAATCTAATCTAACTTCAAGTAACAACCTAACCTAACCTAACCTAACCTAACCTAACCTGATATGATCTGACATAACCTTGTCCTGTAGGGGTGAACAACATGCTGCTGACTCATAGAAGACTTTTTATCATCTTGATCCTGTAAAAGTATCTAAGGTACCACTCACTTATGAACATGTTGCAGACTTTATTTGTAGAAAAATCAGTGATATCTCCGTTAGCTGGAACAATTGGTGGAGAGCACTTCCGGGAATGAGAGACTTCCTGGTAATGAGACGACTCTCTCAAATGTGGAAAAATAATCCTTCATCCCCGGAATTTTCTTGGTAATTGAAAAATGTTCTCTGAAGTTCCATAAAGATGCATTACATCACCTCTCGAACCTGGAAAAATATGTCCCAATCCCGGAATTTTCCGGTTACCGGAAAATTTTTCTCGTATTTTCCGGAAGATGTGCCTGATTTTCATCTGTCAAACCTGGAAAAAACTCCCCCCTCCCTGGAATTTTATGGGTACTGGGAAAATGGGAAAATTTCTTAAAATTTTCCAGAAAATGTGCCAATTGGAAAATCGTTCCCAAAGCCGTAATTTTCTGGAAAATTCCGGCTTTGGGAACGATTTTCTAACAAAATTTCAATTCTGGTGCAGAAAGCACTTTTGTGACATCAGGGAAACAGGCTTTACTGCATCCACTTTGTAAGAAACCTGGGCCGGTATACACAAAACTTGTAAGTGCTAGCAAACAGTTGTTAAGGCTGACCTGTTAAGCACTAATAGTATATACACAAAACTTTAAGGGCCTTTGTAGTTCTGTTCAGGTAAAAGACTCCCAGAGCACTGTTACATCCCATAATAGTCGTCTGTTAGTTGATGCCACGGCGAACCACCAACAATATCAACATCAACGCATTTATCGAGAAAGGAGAGATAAATGTAATGAATATAGTGTGTATATATTAAATATTCTGCATAGTTTCCATATTACAATACATTTAAGGTGTTGTATTAATGTGTGAATTTGATGTGAAACCCCCATAGGTTTTTGTAATACCTGTAATTTATTCACAGATGTCTTATGTACAGCAGTACAGTGTGATACAGATGTCTAACACAGGTGCAATGAGGCAGGGACCGTGTGTACGACCGAATGAGATAAAGGCATTTACAGGGGGAGGGAGTTCCACATCAAATTCACTCGTTAATACAATATCTTAAATGTATTGTAACATGGAAACTATGCAGAATCTGACATTTTACCATAGAGACATTGTGGTTTAGAATTATCCAAGGATTTCATCTTCCAATTTAATGTACTCTTTGCTGAATCACCCTGTATAGAAGAAGATTTTTAGAGAGTAAATAATAAATATAAAACCAAGTTACATTCATATTTTCCTTTTACAATACAAAGAGAAAATGTAACCTAGAAAGAGGCATTAAAGAATAAGAAATAAATATTTGACTTCTTAATCTGTTATTTGAAGGTGTTTTAATGCATTATCTACTAATTAAAAAACAAAGCATAAAACCAAATAAAACTTACTCTGTTTTCTTTCTTACAGTGCAAAGAGAAAATGAGACCTATGAAAAAGGCTTTGAAGACCTTGGACAACCCCAACGAAAGCCTCAGCCAAGAGGAACAGATTCAGCACACCAGACGTTGTTTAGTACAGATTGGCGACCACATTGAACGCTCCCTACAGGCTCTACAGGACCCCACCTCTATAAGAGAATGGAAGAGGTATGTAATATCACTTGATGCAACATCTCTACCTCAGAGTATAGTTTCATTGATGTTTTAGGGTTGCACAGCTTTATAGGATGTCACTTCTCTAAGACAGTGGAAGACATATGTAATAGAGCTTGATGTAAAATTTACCTCAGTGTAGAGTTACATTACAATTTTAGGGTTACTGAGCTCTATAGGATGCCACTTCTCTAAGAGAGTGAAAAAGGTACATAATAGAGCATGTCATATGCCTTGACATAACCAATACAGGCCTGTATGTAAAGTAATAGAGCTATATTAACACTCTTGGGAGGTGCTCTCCGGCGAGACGCTTGGGGTCTGGCTGGATACTCATCTCACCACAATTAACTGAACCACTCGAGAGATAATTGTATATAATGAGGTATAACAAACTTGATATTTGAGATAAAAAGATGGGGTTTGTTGCATTAGCATTGAAAATAAATTACCTGTATCTAAAAATACAGTAGTTTAATATAAGTAATCATGATATAATTATTTCTATACGTAAGCATGAGTAAAACAAATTTTTTTTTTTTTTACGCTAAATGAAAACACTTTATACCTTCATTATTTTATGTTTATGGGCATTAGCCTACCTGGGTAATATTATAATGACGCACATCAAGGCCTCTGGGGGCGAAAATATAATAATATAATAAAATAATAATAATAATAATAATAATAATAATGATAATAATAATAAATAACAATTATAATAATAAAATTAATAAAAATAATTAACAATTATAATAAAAGAAAATATTTATAAAACTACTAAAAATTAATAAAATTATTTAAAAAGAAATAATAAAGAGCCATAAAAAAATCAAGAGTGAGAAATATTATATGTAGTACGTTGTGTTGTCAATAGTAAGAGAAACAATAGAGACCCTGTAATTGTGTATAAATGAGGCTGAAAGTCAGATCACCAACCTGAGACTTGGTCACATATGGCAGTAGGGTCTACCATTAGACAACACATTATACTTCCAATATTTTCCCAGGCGGTAGTACCTCCCTGTTTGATAGCTGCCTACGACCTACTGCAGAGCGTACTGTACCTATTTAGCAAGAAATAGTTATAGAAGAAAAGTTATGAAAAAATTAATGTTTTGCTAGGTAGTAGTGGTGTAAACTGTTGAGCAGACCCAGACCGAGTACAGATTATCAATTTTTTCCCTTTGAACACAAAAGATAGCTGTACAAATTGAGTCATAGCAAGTTTTTTATTGGAGATAATAAGGTCAGGTTTGTTGCATTACCATTGTAAATAGATTATATGCAAATCGTTTTATTTGAAGTAATCACACTAAAATGATTAATTCTATATGTATGTGCGAGTATAACACAAATTTTAGTGCATGGCTACCACTCAGGCTTCCAAACGCGAATATTCCTTGCTCAAAGTTTCTACAATGTTTACATAAATTATACATAATGTTTTCATAAATACATTTTATTTTTTAAATTCATATGAAATAATAATTGTAAATTATTAGTTAAATGTAATGCATAAAAATATTAAAAAAAATTTTCTCCAAAAATAAAGAATTTCTGTAATTACATGTTAGATGTTGGAGCACTTGGTTATGTTCCACCCCCCCTCCCGCTCTTTTCCCTCCTCCTCCGTGCCCCACAGTGCCGTACTTAGCCTGAACAAGGTGACTAAATCTAGTTTTTGTGGGAGTATGGGTAGTGCCACTTATGAGTGGCCATGAGGTAAGCCACACTGTGATGGCTGAGGTGCCACATGTGCAACACTTTTTTATTTTTCCTTTTACTCACAATGACATACCAGGCAGTTCCTTTCACACTAGAACTGCTTGTTGAAGGGCCACACAAACTATCACTTTATTAGAAGGGCCAGGGACACTGGGAGGTACCACACTATCACCACATAGTGTAATCTCCTTGTATTTCCCTCCCCTCCCTCCACCTTCTCTAGCAACACAAAGCTTGGTTCAAAACTCTCACAACACTGTTATGAATAAATTAAATCACTGTGATGCACGATAAATCAGCACAAACCACAAGAAAATGGTGGGAAATGTTGGTCAAGATTACGTCCTGTGCCGCTGAACCACAAAGAGCGACTAGTGATATGAGGGTGGGGGGTCTTTTCTAATTTAATTCAGTTTTATTTCTTCTCCATGCCTCTACTTTTAACCAATTAGCAGGGAAGGTTTTGTAATTATTTAATTTTCTCCTTTCTTTATTTTGTAATTGGATCTCTCTTCAAACCTTCTTTCTTTCAATGTCTTACTTTATTAATTTCTTTTGTTACCTATATCTTAGTTACTTTCTTCTCAAGATATCCCCTAACCTCTGACCTATGGTAGCATGGCTCGAGGGTTAGGACACAGGGGTTTACTGTAATTACTGGTACCAAGGTAAAATACTGCAGGGATAATGATACCCCCAACATACAATAAAAATGGTTTATTAAAATTAAGTTAGGTTTATGACTAGTTTCATTAATGCAAAACTACAAGGATCATCTCCATGACTTCACTCAATTTGTACTTCTCAATTAGGTACACCTTTCAACATCCACTATTACTGGGTTTACTTTATAATGAGACATAACATTATAATCTAACATGTAACACACTTGAGCATCACCCTTACAGGTTACTTGTGAATTTATCTTACTTACTAACAGGACTCTTAGTGATAGCACCGGGACTGCAATACAGTACTTTGTTACGTTCACTGAGAAGTAAAGTGGCGACCCTCATACACTTGCTCACTCCAGACACCCATGCAACTGAATAGGTTACATACATGGATACTTGGATGAATAACACACCCAATAAGTAACTCTACTTATCATTGTGGACTCATAACACTGTTTATGAGCTGGTCGTATTTACTCCACACATGAGATGCACACGCGGACAACAAACACATTCTGGCCACCTCCTCTGAGCGGCTGGCTGTATGTAAGATCTCAGCTCACCACACCACTGTGTTACATGATGCTCTCAGATGTTGACAGCCTTCATCCATCTCCATACTGGACGTCCTGGCATACAACGGCCACCCGTGGTCTAATCAGGCACCTGTTACATAGAGGAGTCGTGGCTTGAGAATGACAGAGTGAGTTGACACGAATGTCATAAAATACGTCTTGTAAGCTGATGGTGCATGAACACTTTACTAAAGACATCAAAGTTGCATTGCTGGACCATTTGCATATTCAAACAAAGCACAACTAAGCTAACTTTACTTAATAGAGATGGGGTGGGACACAAAGTACTGGACATTCCTGTTACACAGAGGAGTCATGGCTTGAGAATGAGGTCAGGAGTTCCTCTGCCTCTGCAAGCCTCTCACCACCCCTGAGTTACTAAGTCGGACTTTCACAGATATATTCATCAGACTCCTTTACTGTTAACATTGCCTTGTGAAAATCAGGCTATGAGCTTATATTAATTTTCTAAGATTACTTTTTTTAAACTAATCAGTGCCCTAGCTTTCAAGGACAAGAATTAAACTGATGTCAAGTACCCAGAATGGCAGTGGATTGTGGGCGGAGCTTCTCAAAGAGATCTTGGGATTTTTCTGTTAGGTCCCTGTGATAAGCAGTGTATGTACAGTTTACATTTCAGACGACTATTTACTTTCCACAATACAAAACTGACAACAATTTCAATACTCTCATCGAATTCTTTGATGTTCACTGATCAAAAAGATATGACTTCAGTTTTGAATAGCTATCCCGAAAGCTCACAAGAAACAGGCTGATTACAGCTGACGGTTGTGTACTCAAAACACATCGTCTTAACACTATGTACTTTACACATAAAGATATATGAAGATTTCAACATATACAGTACTCAATACACCTTGAATGCTTTATCTGTAATCAGACATTTCTAACTTAATTTTAAACATGCATTGACTCTCAATTTCAAATCTCTGAACACCATATGAGGTATTAAGAAATATCGGAGAGTCTGAGGTACATGAGACAAAACGGAAGACTCAGGCGTACTGAAGTGGTGAGAAAACGGACATCTCAACTGGTGGATTCAATAAAGAAGTCACAGGTACTGTACATATTTTATGGGCTATTGAGCGTACAGTAAATCCTCGTATAACGTCGCCCCGCTTAACGTTGTTTCGGTACTACATCGCTACTCTTTAGATACCAATAATTCGTTTAACTTCCCGACGACTCAATTAAACGTAGCTTTTGCGTCTTCACGGACTACTTTTTACGGCGCATCACCCTCTTTCATCTGGCCGCGCCACGCTCTTGGTGACTCACCGCCCTCCTCCGGGAGCGGTGAACTGATGTGTTTGACAGTTGGCGTCGAAGGTCTAGTGTGTATTTATTTATCTGTCCTTAAGAGGGGTTTAAGTTTTTTACTTATAAAATGTCAATGAAATTATCTGCGAGAATTTAACTTAGTGCTGGAATTCTTGTAAGATAGTGATTAATTTGAATATAAACATGCTATAGTTTGCATTAGGCATAATTTTTTTCTAATATTTAGTTCATTTCAGTAGAGTACAGGTTTGCCCTCATTTATTTTACCTTTTTCACAATACAGTGGTCCCTCGGTTAACGAGCACAATTCGTTCCGGAAGGTTGCTCGTTAACCGAAAAATTCGTTAACCGAAACCATTGTTTCAATGGGTTTTTGGGTAATTGGTTCTAGCTCACCAAAAATTACATACAAACGAAAAATAAATGCAGTAAAGTACACTTACTTTGAGGTGTTGATGTAGAAGGCTCCTGGTTGATGATGATGATGGGAATTAAATTGGAGTGGAGGAGAAGGGAGAAGAGAAGACATTGGGGTGGAAGAGAAGTCACCCCATGCTGCCATTTCACCCATAAAATTTTAGTTCACTTGGTGTAATTCAAGATTATTTTCTTTAAATCAACACTGCACTGCGCTATATATTGTCATTATGTAAAATATATTTCAAAATGGCCAATAATTTGACTGGAAACACAGAAAAAAATTTTATGTTGAAGAGTCTGAAGCAAGATGTTACCTCCACTGAAAAGACATAGAGACTGACAGCTGTATGGTGTGTTGAGTGGCTGTTTGGGATGCTAAAAACTAGTTTCCCTGTACTTAAATTATGTTAAATAAATGTTAAAACTACTAAAAATTTTAATATAAGACTTTTAAAATTATTGAATAGTACAAACTTCTTGATATTTACTAAAATAGTAAGGAATTTAAGCCCTAGAACCGATTACTGTATTGGCAGACTAATACGACAGCTAGTGTGCAAGCGAAAACATGTTGAGGGGCGCTCGTAAGGAATTCGTTAATCGAGGGAATGCTTGTTAACCGAAGTTAAGAATCTTATGGAAGGTAATTCGTTAACCGAAATTTTGTTAACAGAGGGGCTCGTTAAAAGAGGGATCATTGTATTTATTTAGGATAGTGTGTGTATGTAAATAAGTAAAAATAATTGAAGAAAGTTATGTATATCTACCCAAAAATACAAGTTGAAAAACTTGTACTAAAATGTACAACATTAATGGACTAAAATTTTTATCTCTTCTGAAAAATATATGATGTCTATATTCAAATTCTTCACTGTCGTGCAAGGATTTCAGCAATGCAAATTATATTCTTCTAGTTTTAGTCTGACAGTTTATAAGATAAAAAAATTAAGCCTAAAACTACCTTCACCCAGTTTTGTGAATGCTTCTTAGGGAGGCTTCTTAACACGGAGCCCCATTTTTTTTTTTTTCCAAGTCTTCTGAAATCTGGATTTACCAATGCCATTGAACTTATGTATATGTAATGTATTTCATGGGGCATAGGGAGGCTCAGGAACGTAACTCCCGTATTTTATCTATTTCTTTTGGGAAAATTGATCCGCTTAACGCTGTTTCATATAACGTCGCGTTTTCAGGAACATAACCCCGACGTTAAGCGAGGACTTAATTTAATATGAATCCTCTGATTTTACGTTAACTAACATGTATGACTGCGTTCAGTACAGTGAGATCACTCACTTAACCTTGGAGGCAGTCTACATAGGTGCCAGATCACACTGACGTTGCCAAATGTGGTACAGTATTTAGTGTTCATACGCAAGCAAAATTATTTTATTATAATTTTTAAGCTTATATATGCATATTTGCATATGAAAACCCCAAGAGTGTTAAGAAGTGTTATAAGAGACTTAAAGTGTAGATGTTAAGAGTGCAGTATAGAGTTTTGTAAGCATTTAATAGGTCAAAAAGTTGTATGGATTAGCTAGTTTGAATTTTATTAACATATAGTACAGTACTTATAACTTTAGCTAATTGTAATAATATGAATAATATCAATTATTAATATTTTTATAATTACTGTATTATTATTATAATGTTAACTCAATCATTGCTTTACAGTTTATTGTGGCAATTTGTGTCTAAGTTCACGGAATACGATGCCCGAAAACTCCACAAATTATATAAGAAAAACAAAAAAATCCAAGAAGAGAAGAAAGAAGGAGATAGAGAGAACCAAGAGAAGAAAGATGAGAGGAAGAAAGATAAGGAGAAGAGGAAGGGAGAAAGAGAAAAGTTCATTGAGAAGAGGAGAGATCAACCTGGGAGTCATTCACCTAATAAAAAGTCATATGGGTGAGACCTTAGCATTTTTATATATATTTTGAAACCACATTCTATCACACTTTCAGATTTAATGAACTAATAGACTTTTACATCGAAGGAACTGTATTATCGAATGGATGTTTAGATATAACAGACCTCAATCTAATCTGTGTTTTAACCTAACCTGACCTAACCTCTAACACTGTCTCATATAGTCAGGTAGATGGATAGTTCATTTAGAGAACTCAAGTAGGTTTCAACTTTGACTTTTAGAGAAATTAAAAAGTCTTTTTTAACCTGATAACTGTGATATACATTCTTGAATGATAAGTGGAAGTGTGTGACATACATTCTGGAGTGTTTTGAACTGAGTGTGAAATTTTTTTTTGTATCTTGTGGGGTCAAGTATGGGATGTTAACACTCTCCAGTTTCTTGAGTCCCCCCACTGAAACTTGCGCTTCTCTATCCTCCATTTCAGAAACCTCACAAAATCCCAAGTTGATGTTGTGTATACAGTATATTTAAAATTACAAATGAATATGCATATGTTACCATAAAATATATACAGTCGTGTCGAATCTTACACACATTTAACTTACGTGCTTGGTTTAGGAAAAACAAAATGACACAGCGAGTGTAGGAGTGTATAGCTGGGGTAGATATTGTAATAGTGTATACCATTTGCTTACACTCCCTGCTTCACCATAGCAATGAAAACCAGCAGAGACGCTACCTACACTGCCTCCATAACAATGCCCCCCTCACCCTCCTCCCCACCCTCACTGGGCCAGGTGTTTGCCCTTGTGACAATTATTATTATATTTTTTTATTTACGATATGTATGTAGGATGGTGTGTGCATGTAATTGAGTAAAAATAAATGAAGAAAGTTATGTACGGTAAAATCTTGATGATACGAATAGATTCGTTCCTTGGAGTCTGCTCATATAGCGAAAACTCGTATAACAGAGGGAAGAGTACATGGGTCAAATAGGGGTGTGTTCCCGTGTACCAAGCTGTGAGGTGTTATGGTTGTTTTCAACTTGTGTTTTTGGGTAGATATACGTAACTTTCTTCATTTACACGCACACACCATTCTATGTACATTTTGTGAAAAAAGTAAAAGAAATAATCATCTTAAGGGCAAACCTGTACTCAAATGTACTAAGTTAATTACTAAAAAAATTATGTCTAGTGCAAACTAATAATAACAACATTAACAACAACAACAATAATAATAATAATAATAATAATAATAATAATAATAATAATAATAATAATAATAATAATAATAATAATAATAAAGAACCATAAAGAAAAAGAAAAAAAAAAAAAAAGATCGATAGTTGTTGTGTTGTCAAAGTAAGAGAAACAATTTAGACCCTGCCATTGTCTATAAATGAGGCAGAAATTCAGATGAGCAACCTGGGACTTGGTCACAATTTGCATACTGTACTTACAAAACAATGTTTAAATTCCCACTATATCATAGCCTAAGTCCTTATATGCATTTAGAGCCACTTAATTTAAGACAAAAGAAAAAAAATGGAAAGCCATAATACAGTTAATTAAAGTAAAAAAAATAAGTCATCATGTAAATCAAATACTGTAAATTTCAAGTTTAGCCCCATTCATATCAGCAGGCATTCGTAAGTCGGACGTTTGTTAGTTGGGGACCTCCTCAACTGCAGGGTTAAGTTTTGTTTTTTTAATGGGGATTAGCCCACCCGGACACAGGTCACTGACCCACATCAGGGCCTGGGGGGCGAAAATGTAATAATAATAACAATAATAATAATAATAATAATAAAAATAATAAAAATAAATAATAGTCATAATTCATAATAAATAAATTTTATGATAAAACAAACAAAAATAAAATAATAAAATAATGATGATAATAATACATTAACTGTAATAATAATAATAATAATATTATTAATAAAGAACTATAAATACAAAAATGCAAAAAAAGATCAAAAGTGAGAAACGATATATATATGTATGTTGTGTTGTCAATGGTAAGAGAAACAATTGAGACCCTGCAATTGCATGTAAATGAAGCAGAAAGTCAGATCATCATCCTGGGACTTGGTCACAATTTTCGTGATGCTATATGGCAGCAGGGTCTACCATTAGACAACACATTATGCTTCCAATATCTTCCCAGGCAGTAGTACCTCCCTGTTTGGTAGCTGCCTACTGTGTTAGAATATGAGAGAACACCAAATTTTCTCATTTTGCATTTAGAAAACTTAATATTATTTAAAGTTAATACATAAGAGACCTTAAAATGTCATTTGGTGGAAAGTGTAGATCTGGTTTCATTATTTGAAAACTTAAGAGAACTCATTAAGGCTTTTATTTTCAGAGGTCGCGAAGGAGATAAATGGAATGACAGAGAGAAAAATAGAGATAGAGAAAGAGAGAAGGAGAGAGGAGATAGAGACAGAGAAAGACCAAGAGACAGAGACCGCTTTTATCCCAGAAACCCAGGCTGGCATGGTGGTCCTGGCAGAGAAAGGTATTATACTTTCATTTGTTTCTTTCTATAATAACTTGAACTTCTGTAAACAAAATTATGAAAATCTTCCTTTTATTACTTGTAAAACTTTACTCGAATACTTTCTAAACCTTTTACTTTCTATAAATTTTTCTACAGACTTTTTTTAATTACATTAACAAGGTTACGTACTTTCATTCAAAACTTAAAAATTCAATCAAATACTCTTTAGAAGTAAACCAATTATGGCATCTGAATAGTTTCCACAGCTGATTTTTTTAAATGTGTTACTTTCATTTGGTATTTTCTTAAAAAAAAAATTATTTTTCAGTAGATACCCACGAGAGGGCGGTGGTGGGTACAGACACGAGGGTTACAAGCCCCACGGGTATCGGGGTGAATGGGGCAGCCGGGGACCATACCCAAAACACTATGGGGTACCTCAAGGTGGATATGGGGGGTCAGGGCCTCACTCTGGGCAACATCCTGGTCCATCAACCCATCCAAATGCCCCTTCAGGGCACTCAAGTCACTCGGGGCCACAGTCAGGACATTCAAATCATCCTGGTTCCACATCAGGACATTCTAACCACCCGGGACAAGGTTCGGGGCATTCCAACTATTACCCGCCCCATCCTACCCACTCACCTGGGATTTACGGACAGATGCCCCATCGGGGAGGACCGTACAGTGGCCATCGGGGTGAATGGGGGCCCAAAGAGAGGGGTGAGTGGGGCCCCAAGGAGAGGGTTGAGAGGCCTGCTCAGTCATATCCAAAAGATTTCTCATAGGTTAAGACAATTTCTGATATTTTGAGAAAAATTTGACTTTTTTCCTGAGTCAGAAAAGGGGAAATTTTTCCTTTAAGAAGGTAAATCAGACATTTTCAGTGTTTTGAGGGAAAATCAAGACAATGTATGATAATTTGAGGAAAATGGGATATTTTATTCCTCTCTAAGTAGGAAAAAGAGGACAGTGTATATGATATCAATGTGAAAAATTGGTTATTTCTTTCCTGTCTTAAGTAGGAAAAAAGGACATTAAATGAAATTTTGGAAAATGAAGAAATTATGTCCTTAAAATTACTGTGTGGAAAATAGGACATTACCTGTACATTGCTTGGATGAATAAAAGAGGAAAATTTTACATTAATTTAAAATAACAAGCAACAGAATTTTACAATGCTTTGAGAAAAATGAAGACTTCTTATGATATGTTGAAATAATTGGTTCTGTTTTCATTAAATAAATTGTTTTCCTTCAGTAGAGGAAAGTAGAATTAATTTGCTCATTTAAGTAGAGAAGTTGATTTTTTTATATCAAAATTTGAATAAAAAAATCAGACTTTTTTTCTCATTAGTTATGGTGAGGAAAATTAGACAGTTTTTGTTGTCTTTGGGGAAAATGTCTAATTTTCCTGTCTATATGTGAGTTTTATTCATTTGTCTGTTTATAGACAAATGTCTATTTTTCCCCATTGATTAGACCTGAAGAAACAAATGTACCTCAATATGTCTAAATTTTGTTAGACATAAGTATTTAGACATGTGTCTTTATAGACGTGTGTCTGCTTTTAGACACGAGTTGTTAGACATGTCTATTTTTGAGATGTGTCTGTTTTAGACACGTCTAAGTACGTCTAAGTAGATGTAAGTTTATTTACACATCTGTATTTAGACATGTCAGAAACTGGACACATGTCAATATTTAGACATATGTCTGACAGTTGATGCGTGTCTATCTAGGTATAAGTGAATGGCTGTGAAAAATGTACATAATATATACTGTATATAAAATTGTTTATATATTTCGTTTGTAAATAAGTTGATTGAGCTAAGTTACAAAATCACTTTAATTGTAAGTGAATTTGGGGATATTAAAAGTACTTATAATTTATATTTATGATTGTTTTATTAACCTTACAAGTAGTTTCAAGTATTTAATTATTTTTTTTGTAACTTAAATATGCACTTAAAATGTTTAAAGTATTTTTTCTTAATTCTAAGTGCTGTGTGTAGGTTTTTGAACAGTACTTGTGCTTGCAATTTATATTCTGCTAACTTTAGTCTGTGCCATTTTATAAGATAAAATCTTTAAGCCTAAAACTACCTTCAAACTGCCGGAAGTTGAAGTGGAGGTGATTTGTTATGACAACAGCAGGGAAGGTTTGAGAAGGTTACCTAGTGTTTATTTATCAGTCATACAGAGGAAGTTTTAAGTTTTAAGCTTATAAAACGTCAATGAATGTGACTTTATAGTAATGCATACAAGCACCTCACCAGGCATTACACAAGGAGCTTTGAATTTTTGTATATGTAATGTATTTCATGGGGCAAAGGGAGGCTCAGGAACGTAACTCCCGTATTTTATCTATTTCTTTTGGGGAAAATTGATCCGTTTAACGTTGTTTCGTATAACGCAACCCCTATGTTAAATGAGGACTTACTGTACCTTATTTACCTAATGGCCACCCACTAGAAATGGCGATGCCAAGGGAAGGATGCCAGTGGCCTGTGTAGGATCCGTCCATTGTTCTTGATAATTTTGTCAAGGGCTATTTTGAAGCCCAGTGCAGTTGTGTCGCATCTTATGTGATGGTTACATTGCAAAAACGTATATAGTCAAAATTACCCTTGAAAATCACTTAAATCACCCATAAAGTACACACAGCATGTCCTTACAATTCACGGCCTTCGATTATTCACAGATTACACCCTGGATGTACCCAAGAATGTCTGCGGGTAGTTTTAAAGTTGGCAGCATTTTCGTGGCCAGGATGGGGAGCCCGTGAGTTTTATGGTGTCCCGCAAAGTTAGGTTAGGTTAGGTGCTACTCTGCTCTCTTAGCAACTGTACTCCTCAAGCTTGTGGTGGCACTCAAATGCCCTCAACCACCTTCAGCCAGCCTTGGGAAGGTGTCCAAACAAGTGAAAAGAGTAAAAGAAGGTCATGTATTTCTCCCATAGTGTTTACTGACAGAATAGTGTTTAATAGATTAATAGGTTAGCTAATCATTGTTACCACCAGGTTACTGGACCAGTGGGCCAAGCTGTGAGGTGGGAAGCGTTGCTCGAGAATCAGCGTCCCAGCTGATCTTCATTACTATGATGGAGCAGGGAGTGTATGCAAATGGCGACTGTTAAACTTTCATTTGGCACTTATTTACTGGTTTGGCAATAGTATTTTTTGTTGTAACTTATTTATTTTTATTATTTTTATTTATTCCTCACATTTTTGGGGTAGATATACATAACTTTCTTCATTCATTTAGACTCAGCTACCTGCACACACCATCCTAGATACAAATTGTAAAGAAAAAAAGTATAGTGCAGTACCGTGTTACACCGCAATTACCGACATCTTACAAAAGAAATTCTGTAAGTTTGATCTACGTATCAACCCAGCTGGTGCTCAGATGCCATTCGTTACAGAGACGGTTATTTTTTACAATGACAAAATTACTGTATGGCAAGCCAACCAACCCAACTTAAATAACAAAGTAGATGTTCCACTGCAGCCTCTCTGATATTACTCTTAAGTACTTTACATATTATGCTGGTCAGACTTACTGGTCTATAGTTGTTTGTGGAGCGACAATCGCCCTTCTTGAAGATAGGACTCGCATAAGCCACTTTCCAATCACTGGGGACCTTTAGTTCATCCAAGCATTTACAAAACAGGATCTTTAGGGGTTTGGCAAGCTCGTTGTACAACTCTATAAGCACTCTGGGATGCACCATGTCAGGGCCGGGACTCTTATGGATCTTTAGCTTTGACAGTTTATTTCTAATACCCTCTTCTGTGAACACATTGTGGGTCAGTGCTGTGTCGAACCATCTGTCCTCAAACACAGTAAGGTTAATTGCATCCTCTCTTGTGAACACCGAAGAAAAGAAGCTGTTCAATGCCCCGGCTTTATCCCGGTCAGAATCTGCGTAACTACCATCTTCAAGCCTCAGATCTGATACTGATACTCCTACTCGCGTTTTTAATTTCGACTTTGCATAGCAGTAAAACGCCTTTGGTTTTGACTTGACCTCGCTCGCAACCAGCCTCTGGAACTCCTTTTCAGCCCTTCTACACTTTATCTTTGTTTGGTTTTTGGCTCTTGCATACATCCTCCTGTCCTGTTCATCGTTTGACCCAACCCACGTCTTGAATTTCTGGGTTTCCTCCTTAACTTTATCCACCGCCGCATGGTTCATGTGTAGGGATCCCCTCATATTCCTAGAGGCACCGGTTTGGTCTTGGGTATATATTTATTGATCAAATGGGTCACTTTACTAGTTATGATATTCAGCGTAGTGTCTGTGTTCTTGTGCCTTAATGAGTCAGGCCAGTGGATACCCCTCATCCCATTGTAATTTCCTTTGTAATATTTGCACAATGGCCTGGCCTTATCTTGAACTAGGTAACAGTTAGATTTGAATGACAACACTATATGGTGACTGGGGCAAGGTGTTCCAGTTTGACCACCATACCCTCCTTGTTTGTTATGATGAGGTCTAGTGGCTTGGGTGTTTGCTCCCCTCTGTAATGTGTCGGGTCTCTAACATGTTGGAACAGAAAATTATCTCTCGGAGTTTCTACAAAAAGAGTAGCAGGGTTATTCAAGTCATTTGGGGTGAACCTGTTTCTCCAGTCGATGTCGCCATAGTTAAAGTGTCCCATGACAAGGAGGTGGCTAGCATTGAACATCGCTGCGTTGTCTATTAATGCTCTTAGTTCCTTTGATGTAGTGGGCCACAGTTTGGGGATCTGCAGATACACCCAAGAATAAGTAAGTCTGCCCCCCCCCTCCCTCCCTTTAATTTAATTTTACACCACTTGGACTCTTCAAAAACATTATCTCCCTGTACCCTAGCCTGGCTGGCTCTAAGGTCTTGCCTGGCATAAATAACTATACCCCTCTTGCAAGTTTCTTGAGAAAGGTTCGTAAATGAGTCATATCCCGCAATACTGAACTCATATTTCTCTGGGTCGATTCTCCTATTCTTGTACAACAGTTCTACAACTCCTACAATATCTGGTTGGCGTACCTTCAGTAGTGTTTCAAACTCCTTTCTCTTATCAAGGAACGTATCGGTATTAGTGTACACGACATTCAAGCCAGAATTGAATAATACACATCAAGTTATGGAATAAAAGAATATTTACTTTTATCCTCTTGGCAGTACAGCTCAAACATGGATTCAATTGTAAAATTTAATCTTCGCAAATTAATAGAAACCCATAGCACTAATTTTCATTGCCGAGGTGTACCGTAACAGAGACTAATGAATAGATATGTAAAATTATCGCCCAAGGAAAATTATATAAAGTACTTTCCTTGGTGCCGGAGGCTGGTATGAGCTGATTAGTGTTATAATATTACTACTAACTAGTTTAACCTCAACTAACTAAGTTTTACCAAACTATAATTTCCTGATGATAGTTTATTATTACTTAGTGATACTATAAGTACCTGATAATAGTATATTATTACTTAGTGTTCAGTCTATAATATAATAATAAGTAGATGTTTTTCAGATAATATTAAGTAAAAAATAATTGTTAAAACTATGTGGGGTTAGTTTATAATTATTATAATAGGTAAAGTTGAGTTACTAGTGGTGTTGTTCGTGGTGAGTTATTTACAGTGTCCATCGCCTCACTAGTGGTGTTGTTCGTGGTGAGTTATTAACAGTGTCCATCGACTCACTAGTGGTGTTGTTCGTGGTGAGTTATTAACAGTGTCCATCGCCTCACTAGTGGTGTTGTTCGTGGTGAGTTATTAACAGTGTCCATCGACTCACTAGTGGTGTTGTTCGTGGTAAGTTATTAACAGTGTAGTGGCTACTCTCCCCTACAACTTCCAACTGAGCTCCGGCCGCACTCCGACCAGCCAATCAGCGTGCAGCCAGCTACGCCGAGAGACTAGGTCTATGCAGAGGACGTAGGGGTACGATCGCCGACCTAGTCTCGACCATCAACCTCCAGTTCAGGATCAGAGCGTTTCACACCTTACGCTGGAGCCGCTGTGATTGGTCACCTCGCTACGCGCACCCCAGATCCTGATCCTGGTAAATTGTATAAATACGGCCACGCCTGCCCAGGGAGGACATCCTACACTCAACTACTGGACCAGCAACATCTCTCTCAGCTCCTCACCTAGTCACTCCTAAGCACTGCGCTGTACAACAATATATATACAGGAAGCGCATCGTGAGTTTCTATCCAACCTCATTCCTGAGTGAAGGTATCTACATGTACGTACGTTTGTGTGCCCATACAAAGAGATAATAGACAACTAAAGAGAATTGACAACTGGCCACATACAGTACACTACATTGGTGACCCCCGGAGCCGTGAATACCACACTCCATTCTGCTGCCTTACTACTTGAGCTGAGAAGATCGTCCTGCCTGCTGCCAGCCTAGGCCAACCGCCTCCCTGCACCACCCACTACTCCACAACGACACCATCTCACGATCGTAAGGTTTATAACGCATTAGTCTGTTCTCCCCCACTGGCGTTGTGAGTGACCCACATCACAGCTGGAGAGCAACTATTGTGCGATATTCCAAACGTGGTTTGAGCTCTTTTGCCTATTCTCCTATTTTTCTTTTGTTTTTTTAGTTCTGGCCGAAGGACCTGCACCCTAAAAAAGTGTATTCGTCCCGAAGTCCCCCCCGCAAGTGTTCACCTCCCTCCCAGGAGATTGTGAAGACGGAAGGGGGTCGGAACAAGCACCCATCCCTCATCCTTCCCTAACAGGTGCGATATACTCACGCAAGAATGGACGGACGGATCTCTCTACCAACCTTCAACCACAACGTAGAGGACTGGTTAGTTCATGTCGAAGCAGCTCTCATCGGCTCTACAGCTACAGACGAGCAGAAGTACGGCGCCCTGCTCTG